ACAACAACAGTTTCGTGTTCCTCGATTCACACGCGCCGCCGCAAAACGGGAGCCAGCAGTTCGTCGGAATCCCACTCTCCGGCCACGAAGCAGCTTCCATTACAGCCGCCGACAACATCTCCGTACTTCACGGATACCCTCCGCGCGTGCAGTACAGTCTCTACAGTAGCCACCAAGTGGATCCCACTCACCAGCAAGCCGCGTGCGAGACGCCACGCGCGCAACAAGGCCTCTCTTTGACTCTCTCGTCTCAACAACAGCAGCAACAACATCAGCACCAACACCAGCCTCTCCATCACGTCGGTTTCGGTTCCGGACCCGGAGAGGATATCCGCGTCGGGCCAGGCTCGGCAGGATCGGGAGTAACAAACGGGATAGCGAACCTCGTTAGCTCCAAGTACTTGAAAGCAGCGCAAGAGCTTCTAGACGAAGTAGTCAACGCTGATTCTAACGACATCAACGCTAAATCCCAACTCTTCTCATCCAAGAAAGCGAGCAGTGGAAATGATAATAAAGCTGCTGGAGAATCCTCCGCCGGCGCTGGAGAAGGTTCCGGTGACGGTGGAGAAGCATCTGGGAAACGTACGGTGGAGCTAGGCACGGCGGAGAGGCAGGAAATACAGATGAAGAAAGCAAAGCTGAGCAACATGCTTCATGAGGTAACAACAACAACAACACTTCCCATATACGTATTTATATACCTATACTAAGTGCTCTCTTTTATCACACATGAAGTGGATTTAAAAGCTATATCCCCAAGTTTTTTCAGTCATTTTCAATTCATATTTTATAAAATATTCATAGTATCTTTTCTCTTTTTCTTTTTCTTTTTGGTTTGCTCTTCTTCTGATTTCTCAAATCAACAATCTTAGAGAGTTTTATCTCTACTAATTTATTCGTCCCATATATAGATGATGTATATAATTATCTTTTTGTCCCTCTCTTAGTTGATAACTTATAATCATAATTCATAAGCATCAACATCAAGTCATCAACATCTTACGTTGTATGATTGTGAAAATGAAAAGGTGGAGCAGAGATACAGACAGTATCACCAGCAGATGCAGATGGTGATATCGGCGTTTGAGCAAGCGGCAGGGATAGGGTCAGCTAAGTCTTACACGTCGCTTGCATTGAAGACCATATCAAGACAGTTCCGGTGCTTGAAAGAAGCGATCGCTGGTCAAATAAAAGCAGCCAACAAGAGCCTTGGGGAGGAAGATTCGGTCTCTGGTGTTGGTAGGTTTGAAGGATCAAGGCTCAAGTTCGTAGACCATCACTTGAGACAACAGAGAGCTCTTCAGCAACTTGGAATGATTCAACATCCTTCCAATAATGCTTGGAGACCTCAACGTGGTCTCCCCGAACGAGCCGTCTCGGTTCTCCGTGCTTGGCTCTTCGAACACTTTCTTCACCCGTAAGTAACTAATTCACATTTTTCACATCCACTTGAACACAAACTAGGTCTTAATCTTTTAACATGTTTTATTTGTGTTTGTTTTCATTAGATACCCTAAGGATTCGGACAAGCACATGCTAGCCAAGCAAACAGGACTCACTCGGAGCCAAGTACGTTTCAAATGCTGATGATTGTGTATTTTGGAAAATTAATAAACGTATATATATAACAATTTATTTTTCTTTATTTAATTAGGTTTCGAACTGGTTTATAAACGCGAGAGTTAGGCTATGGAAACCAATGGTGGAAGAGATGTACATGGAGGAGATGAAGGAGCAGGGAAAGAACATGGGATCAATGGAGAAGACACCTAATTTGGATCAAAACAATGAAGATTCTGCTTCTAAATCAACGAGTAACCAAGAGAAAAGCCCCATGGGAGGCGGCGCCGACACTTACCATTTGAATGCCAATCACAGCGGTGACCTAGAAGGCGTCACTGGAATGCAAGGAAGTCCCAAGAGGCTAAGAACAAGCGACGAGACAATGATGCAGCCTATAAATGCGGATTTCAGCTCGAACGAGAAACTCACGATGAAGATTTTAGAAGAACGGCAAGGGATAAGATCAGACGGTGGATACCCTTTCATGGGAAGTTTTGGACAATACCAAATGGATGAGATGTCAAGATTTGATGTATCTGTCTCCGACCAGGAGCTCTTAGCGCAAAGGTACTCAGGAAACAACAATGGCGTGTCTCTCACGTTAGGGTTACCTCACTGTGATAGCTTGTCTTCCACGCATCATCAGAGTTTCATGCAGACCCACCATGGGATTCCGATTGGGAGAAGAGTGAAAATAGGAGAAACAGAGGAATATGGATCTGCCGGCATTAATGGTGGCGGCTCGGCCGCAACAGTGCATTCATCAGCTGCAGCAGCCGCGGCTTACAATGGGATGAACATACAGAACCAGAAGAGATATGTGGCTCAGTTATTGCCTGACTTCGTTGCTTAAACCCAGGAGCAACCAAAAAAGGTTATATTACGTTTTTAGTATTTAAATTAGTATATAGTTTTTCTTATACCATTGAACCAAAACAAAGAACAAAATTTAATTTTAGTCTTTGGTTATATATGGCCGACGGTTGTATATCGATTTTTGTAATTTCTTTTCTTTTTTCATTTTCATTGGGGGATGGATAGGATTATATATGTATATGGATTAGTTACGTGTAATAGCTTGCTTTTGGATGTATACCAAAATATATTTTTACCTTTGTTTCATTGTAATAATAAGACAGTGAACTAGTTACTCAAATATACTATGATGGTTACAGATTAAAATCTAAGCATTGTGTATATGTATGCAAAAGCTAAGCGGTTCGAAACTCGGAAATATATCTTATGATTTTTGTTTCAGAAGTGGCCATGTGTTGGAGGCATATTGAAGTAGAATTATACACATATAATTCAATATATTGTTCTAAGCTATCAAATTCACATGCCTACACTTGAAGTAGTTCACATGAAAATAAGTAAATACAAATACCAATATGATTTTTTTTTTATAAAGTACAAATACCAATATGATCAAATTCAAAGAATAGAGACATCATTTTCATTTTCATTTTTCCTAATTTCAACAGACAAAACATTCTCAGAAAAACTTGGAAAATAAATTTCTACCTCGCATTTAGTAAAGAAAATATCAATCTTCTTATAATTTTTCCTTTTTAGAGTATATAAATATGTTCAAATAATTTTGTTAATGTATCCATATTTTCAAAATCAGAACAACATGTTCGTGCCGTGCTTCAATAATATAATCTTTTTCTTTCTTTCTCTCAAGAATCTTGTGTATGCGCAAACTTTTTCTTTCCAGAAACTTGCTTCCACCGCGATCATGACAACTTCCAAGATTGATTCCGATTCTAAAACGAGTATCATATCTAAGATAAAACTTTTAGAAAATTTCGTGCATTGAAGTCATACAAAAGTGGAATAGCTGCTGAGATAAACTTGCATTAGGAGAATCAGCCCTTTAACAAAAACAAAAAAACATTAGGAGAATCTATAATGTATATGGAAGCTGAAGCTATGGCCTACAGAGGTTTGTGAGAGATCTACAAAATATATCTTAGGGCCAATGCTAAAGAGTAAAGACCTTTCCTACAGGCTACAGATATATTTGAATCTGTAAGAAATAAACAATGAAAACTAAAGTGAAGCACATGAAATTGATTGTGATTATCAATGAGCCCAATTCATGATGTCCGATGCATACAAAAGTACAAATACAGAGAATATCTCAACCGACCCATTAAGAAGAAAAAACACACAATAATGTTAAGCTATTAGGTCAGCACAACCATTACTCCAACATCACCACTTCCATTAGGCCCAATTTTACATATAGTATATACAACGACTTTCCTTTTTTAATCAGATTTTTTTTTTTTTTTTTGAACTTTTAAAAGCCTTGCATCCTGCTTACAAACTGCACCGAACAAATCAGCTGTATTCGGATTGCTTTGATTATTCATACCTGAATTAGATTAATCATGGTGTTTATTTACAGAATACAGATAAACGGATTGGTTAATCCCCTACGATGTTGCGTCCTACGATCATTTCATTTCATGCCATATCAGCTTAAGTATCTACATATTTTCGATTTATGCTGATCTCATATATACATTACACACACACACACACACAAACACATATATGTATATACGTACGGGCATGAAAGACTTGGTGACATTTCCTGAATATCTCGAAACACTTTGTAACAGGACTCTTTTTTTTTTAACTAATAAAATTGGCTAGAAGATCTTCAGATGAAGAAAGGGAGGTATAAGCTGGCCAAAACGAAAAGAAGATCTTCAGATGCATTGTACCTAGCGCGCAAATGCAATCGTTAGTCGTAAAGTAAGATTATCTTATTTAAAATTGCTAGAAGAGTGTGGACAAATAAACTAGTGATCTAGTTTGAATGAATATATAGAATATTATATTTTGTTATTCGAAGGAAGTTGCAGACAGGCATGCACAGCACATTCATGCACATATATAGTGGTAACTGGTAAGTGGTAACTATTTATCTTTTAAACCGTGTTATTTTTGCGTGGTGGCATAAATTGTTGAACTCCACACTACTGATTTGAATTCAGCCCTAATATGATACGTTTTGGCCACCTATAGGTGTTTGACTTATCTTCTACTTAGCTGATTATTGCTTTATAGAATTTCATCCCAATATGATTCATCTTATGATCTTTATCTTTAAAAGAAAAACGATTTACTACTACGTACGAGAGACCTTTTTTCAATATCCTAACGTCAAATATATTAATTACGAAGTAGACATTGAAATTTGTGTTGAGAGTTGGATTTGAAATTTTGACTGAGAGTCGTCGAGTAATTGTTTTATATGATTTTCTCATTTAATCGTACCACTTTTTCTAAATCATGTGTAAATCCCTGTCAGAAACTCATCAATAATACGACATTATTTAACGTGATCGATCATCGATGTACATATGAATCAACACAATAACACTCATTGTGTTACTCCAAGAGTTGACACATCAGCTTTTTCAAGCAGGGAAAAGGTGACATATCATTTGGCCAATCACGGTTTCTTTCAGAAAGCTAATCTCCGGTCCAACTCCGGGATACTCTAACCTACGACCATGTAAACAAGCATATTTGAAGCTTACTTATTATTTCACATAGTGCCTTCTATTTAGTTTACAAAATTATAACAAAAAACAAAACAATTTTTTTTTTTTTTTAAACCCGTAGATTAAACTTGGCCAGGGAGAAAATATGGTTAAATATGGTTAACCAGACCGGTTCATAACCAATTACGAGAGGTGCCAAAATTGATTATAGTATGTGTATCCGTTATAAATATGTGTGACAAAATTATCGAAAAATTGTATACGTTGAGAACGTAATTAACTTTCAAACTTAAAGACTTACCCTACTCCTATGGACTGTGGTCTAAGTATCTGACCTTGATCATCTTGCAATAAATAGCTCATGGTACCATGGTATACACCAATATCCCCAACGGCCAAAGTAGCTGAATGTTTCCCTGAATCTAGACCAAGCCCTGCCGCCTCGATTCCGACTAACCGTACATCCTCCTCTCCAACAAACTCATGGAACAAACCTAAGGCGTTTGAGCCACTCCCCACACAAGCCACCAGCACATCAGGCTTACCACCCCATAGCTGACTCGCTTGCCTTCTCGTCTCTTTCCCAATCACGGATTGAAACTCGCGTACCATTACCGGACACGGGTGTGGTCCTACGACCGTGCCCGATAAGTAGTATGTGATACCTAGATGTTCCACCCAACACAAGCCACCAGCACATCAGGCTTACCACCCCATAGCTGACTCGCTTGCCTTCTCGTCTCTTTCCCAATCACGGATTGAAACTCGCGTACCATTACCGGACACGGGTGTGGTCCTACGACCGTGCCCGATAAGTAGTATGTGATACCTAGATGTTCCACCCAATTTCGAATTGCCTCTGAACTCGCATCTTGGAATGTTCCTTCCACTGATTTAACCTATTAAAATAAGTCATACGAATTATTATGAATATTTTGTTGTTGCAACTTGCAAGATATATCTAGAACAAACCTCATCTATCTAGAAAAGAAACAAAACTTGGTATTAGCTTCTTTCTTTTTTGTGGTGATTTTACCATTACCTGAGCGCCAAGCAATTTCATGGACTGTACATTATAGGATTGTTTCTCCATATCAATGGTTCCCATGAAAACAGTACACTCCAAGGACAGCTTCGCACATGCAGCTGCTGTGGCGACCCCATGTTGCCCGGATCCTGTGGCGGCCACCACACGGCTGCAATCAAGCCGCCTAGCGATCATGGCCTGAGCAATAGCGTTGTTAATTTTGTGGGACCCACCGTGGCTAAGATCTTCCCTTTTCAGAAAGATCTCGGGCCCACCACTTCGCCCACCTCCGCCTCCGGTGGTTCGAGCTAGGTTCTTGTAGTGTTCAGTTAAACGTCCGGCAAAGCAGAGAGGCGTTTCTCTTCCTACGTAGTCTCTTAACGCTGTGGTAAGCTCCTCCTAAAATAAACATTTATAAATAATTATGTTTCATTAAATATTTGTATCATGTATGTTTCATTCAATTATTTGCATACTTTTTATGTAAAAGATAAAGAAAGGAAAATAGGTCATGAGATTCAACTGCAGCTGCTCGTATGTTGTTTGGAATAATCAACTTAATCATGAGATTCATGACTCTACTTTACTGCCAAGGTTTCCAATCCTGTTTTTTTATTGGCCAAATGTCAGCTGACTTCGAATCTATAATTTTATTTTTCTATAATTAATCTCTTATCTTTATAACCTAAAAAATCAAATTGCGTCAATTTTTGTATCTCGTTCACTTTAATCCGTTGGATATTTTTTAGTCATACAGTATATGGCTGGGAATCGATAAGCTTAATCAATGTGAGTATATGAGAAAAACCAACCTGAAATTCATGATCGCTCAAAACAAAATTAAACTCGTCTTCAAGATCTCTCAGGCGAGACATTAGTGTCTCCGGTACAAACTTCCCACCGAACCTCCCGAATCTACCGTTACCGTCGCCACGAAGAAACGTGCTCTCGTCGGTTCTTTTTGGGACAGAACCTAACGATGGACCACTCTCACGGCTGTATACACTACTTACACGGTGGTGACGTTTTATGGAAGCTGCGCAAACAACCGAAATTCTCATACTGTGGTTTCTTGACGATACCCTAGGAAGTGGCTGTCCTTGAACCTGGATTTTAGTTGACGACATGTTTTCGTTTTTTTTTTTGGAAACACTTGTATTTTAATTGTGTGTTTTTTTTTTTGCTTAGGAAACCTTTGTGGTGATCGATGAGTTGTTTTCTGTTTTATAATGTGAATGAGTATGGTGTTAACTTTTAAGAAAGAAAATGACAAAGAGTATATGGTTTTTTTTCTGGTACGCGTCCATTTGAGTTTATACATGTTTAACATACCGTTGCATACTTGCATTGGCCATGTACTTTCTCCTCTTGCTTTTTAAAAGAAATATATATTTAATATTGGAAAAAAATAAACTTTTAACAGAATAAATTCACGTTGGTTTTTTTTCCACAAAAAATAATATTTTTATGGAATATCTTGAAATTAATTACTAACTTTCATATTTAGATTTAGTATTGTGTATCCCGGAATTAACCGAAAAGGTTAAGGTTCTTTGACAAAAAGCTTCCGTCAATTTCGTCAACCTTTTTTTATTTTTTTTTGAACAACTTAATTTCGTCAACCTATTTACACACTGCACACGGAGTAATCATACTCGGGGCTATAACGAATTTCTGCCTTATTAGTTAGAACCGAGACCGAGAACTCATAGTAAGAATATCAAAGCTCTTCCTCATTAGCGACGAGAAAATTGCGATCGCAAAACGGAATTGGCATCTAGAGGCTAGGGCCAGTGGATTCCTCCATCCTCCTTCTCCTTCCACTACTTACAGTGAAAATATCTTTCAAAAAAAGACAAAAATTAAGTACCAAAAAAAATCTTCAAAAGTTAGTAGCAGCAAGAACAACACGCAACGCAAGTATGGAATTCTGACTGCTAACGTTATCTAGAAAATATTGTGCGTTGGGGAAATCGTTTATTACGAAGATAATAACAAAAGCAACATCACACAAGTTTGGAATTCTGATAATTACTTTAATGTTTGTGCGTTGATAAATCATGTATTCATATCTTAACTTTAAGGAAGAGCCCCTTTCACGTAGACAAGTGACAAGAACAATCATCTTCTCCTGTCGGAAAGAAGATATAACTAAGTGGTTGTAAATGCATGTTCACGAGATTCCGTAGTGGTTGGAGATAAGTTTTTAGATTTTTATTATATTGTTTTGTTTTGTTTTTCCACATTTAAAACGTACTACTGCTGAGAGGTTATTTCACTCAGATGTTTTCTGATTATTACGTTGCGCATGGACAGATGTACATTGACTTGGTTAAGTTGCCCAAACCTTTCTTTTGACTACCATGACGTTAATTTTATAGCTACATGCATCATACACAAAATTATATCGATTGTTTTGCTGCTGAGAGTGTGTGATTAATTATTTTCTAAATTTAAAGAATAGTTAAGAAAAGTCTTATAAAATATGCAATATGATCTGTCACATCACGTGATTTATTATTAAACATTAACCTTAATTACAGCTTCACGAAACAGAGCATGTAAATGGTTAAGTCCATACAAAACAGAGAAATACATCAAATAACACAAAGCATAGCACACACTACAACACAAAAGTCCAAGAATAAGACATCAAATCAAAGCCACTCTTGGTATGTAACTCCAGTGGGCTTCAACCATAGTCCTCCTTGAATAAGCTTGGCAACAGTAAACTGCTCAGCTTTCTTTGGGTCTTTAATAACTTTAAAACCCTTCCACTTCACTCTCTGACTTGTATCCGCTCTAGGGCCGTTATTAGCATACTCTCCATAGTACAATGTTGAGAGTGCGAACTCGCCGTCCCATGGGAACCAACCGGCCGGGTCAATGTGGTCGCCGATGGAAGACTGCATGATCACTGTCCTTGAGTACAACTTCCACGGCCGTCCAAGGAACGTTTTCACGGATCCTTTTACTGGAGCAAGATCAGAGCTAGCCGTTAATCTACATTTTTGGATCGAAATACCTGTGACCTGGTTCGGATCTTCCCTTCCCTGAGCCGTCAACATGTTCTTTTGCCCGGGTCCCGGATTCCGGGCCACGATGTCACAGTTTTGGAATACGACCGCAGAGTTTCCGAAGATGAAGTCTACGGTACCGGTTATGTAGCTGTCACGGTAGAATTGTCGAAGTGTGTGAGTGTAGAGCGTGTCTTGATATGCGTCTATGCGGCAACGGTTTATGACAGTTTGATCGGCACTCACACGGAGAGCCACAGCCTGGTGCTTTGCTGGCCCGGCCGTGTTCTGGAAACCTATGTCTTGTGCCATAAACCCGTCTCCATTGACGGCTGCACGTTTTTCAAACCGGTCTTGTAAGTTATTTGGATGCTAAATTGTAACATTTTGGTACATCACTATTTAGAATGTACATGTGTGAAAGAGAAAAATGTATAGTACCAACTGTGGCTGATCTGAAGGTGGTGGATCCGTCAACGACGTTTAAACTGCCGGTTATGATCGTTGTGTCTTTGCCATCGCCAACAAGCATCAAGTTCTTTTTCTTCTTCCCGATGTCAATAGTTTCCTTGTAAACCCCTTTCTTCACGTATATAACATATCTTGTGTTGCTATTCTCTGGTGCTGCCGCCACCGCCTCATTTACTGTTTTGTACTTTCCGGTGCCGTCTTTTGCCACCACGACGTTTGCGTTCACTTCAAGAGCCTAATCAAGGGTCAAAGAGTCAAAGTTTTAGAACTGGATAATAAACGTTTGCGTTTCAAAACGGTGTATACTCTCTGCGTTTTATAAAAATGTTAGTCTACTTTTCACAAAAGTGATTGTTTTCATCTTTCTTTGTCGTAATAATGTTTTATTTCCTAACTTCCCCATTTAACTATGCAAGTTAAATTCAGCACAATACAAATCTTAACTAGTAAAGTGCGGTTATACTTGGTACTGCAAATAATATTTTAAATTGTTTGAAAATTCCCAAAACATAGTTCGGATGGAGTATTACGTTGTAGTTAATGAGATTTGAATATGGATTTTGACTACCTTGGGAGAAGATTCTAAGAGCTTCCTGTCGAGAACATTTAGCCAAGACGGGAAGTGAATGGGAAAGATCATGTTGAGGTCATCTCTGGCAGGAAAAACGGAGATAAATATGGCTAGAGCCACTCTAGCCCTAGAAACCAAGTCTTCCAGCTCTGGCTTGACTCTAAGTTTAGAGTCGACGGAAACACCACTAATACCGTCTAAACATGTCATGTAGTTTGTAAGCACACTGCTCAACCAAGTGTGTACGTTTGAGTACGACTCAAGATTAAGGTTTCCTCCTCTGAGTTTCTCCATTGAACTCATCAGTCGGTCCTTTGATACGTCCATCATTTCTTGGCAGTCTGCAAAGATGGCCTCGTCTCTCACCCCGTTCGAGCGGATTCTAGCCTCACCCACCGTGTTCATCGCGCTCTCGAGCCGCCACACCGAGCTCTTCAAAAACACGTGCAATAGGTCATGACGTTTGAGCTTTGAGAGCGACAACGTCGTGAATTCGGACAAGAGAGCTTGGCATGAGTTTTGGTCGTGAGCTCCATGGCAAATCTGGCTCGGGGTTAATAGGGAAGCATCACTAGTGGTGTTAGTAGAGATCAGTTGGGCTGTGAAGTAGGCTGCAAAGCCAAGAATGGCTACAAAGGAGAGGACAAGGCATAAATTCCTGCGGTTAAGAGACTTTGGCTTGGAAAGAAGTGGTTGATTTGAATTAGACATCTGGTTCTTTGGTTTTAGTGGTAAAAGGATTGTTTGTGTTGGCCTTCCACTAGAGTGAATCATGCCATTTTATAGAAAACCGCTAGTGAGTGGAGCACATGAGGGAGAGCTATAATTTCCTTTTTTAGCATAAAATATTCATCATCATTGCACCGAATACACTATAAACTAATAAAAAGAAAAACACTCTACTTACTATCTTTCTTTCTAAAAGTCTAATTAAACCCAAAGGCTAAAGTTTAACTTTCTAATAGTTTCTGTTTTTGTTTCGATTGTATTTGAAATTCGTCACGTTTGGATTCTTTACTTCCGTCCACCGACGCTTAACACATCTACCCCGTTTTGTCAACGGCAGGTATGCCTATCCATCATTTGTGATTTTCATCTTTGACAATAACGAGAAATATATATTACCTATAAAAGTGAAACATCGCCATTTAATATGCAAGATTGAGGATGATCGTATAGAAACTTTTAAATCACATTCTTTTTTGTTTACGGACGAAAAAAAAAACTTTCTGACAGTTTTGTTGCTACAAAATAATTAAGGTTTTGAGTAGACCGCAGACAGCAAAGATTAATCCGTTTGTGTAAACCACTTTTTTGGGGAGCATATATATATAAACAGTTTGCATGAACTTTTAGACAGTCTTTCTAATTATCCCACTCCATCCGCTACAACCATTTAAAACCTAAACTTATTTGTAGATTTTCCCGACAAATTATATTTTTTCACACGAAAACTTTAGCTTAATTATTTGTCTTACTAAAGCGACAATTGCGTAAACTTTTCCTTTTTAGATAACTTGCTTAAATATATTAGGCGGCTTGACTTTTCAGTACGAACTGACTATATTTTTTACATTCAATAACTATAATAATTAACCTTGTGAAAAACAGCAAGTGCTATCAGTCATATATTGAACACCAGAGAAGTGGTATCAGCCATTATTTGAGATACATATACACTCTGTTTTTCATATCTGGTCCAAAAGATTGATTTTCAGTTTCCACTTGTTGTATCTAAATATTAAGACACTCTGCTTTTCATATCTGGTCCAAAAGATTGATTTTCAGTTTCCACTTGTTGTATCTAAATATTAAGTAAAGTTAAAGGGGCATCCAATGTTTATATTTTAGCCGATAGTATAACAATAATATATGTAGCTCTTTATATGCAAGTGTAGATTAACTAAAGTTTTTCTTGTCTTCGACTTTTGTGACAGATCGGCGACTAAAATCATTGTTTCATCTTTTAAATTTCAGAAGGATAATCCCACTGCGCATTTGTAGCACATGGAAATTATATTCACACAACAACTTTTGTCGATGCGCCCTTCTCAACATATTCCCACAACAACTATTTTGGATGGACTCTCTCAATAAAAAAAATATAGATGCACGCTTCTCCATAGTTGAAACATTACAGAACTATAGAAGTATATAAAACCCATTGGTTTCCTTTTTTCTTTAGAACTATCCCCCATTGGTTTCTTTCTTGTAGTGAAGAAACAAATTGTACTTTTCAGCCGAATAAGTATACTTTCATTGTAAGAAATGATCCGGAGAAAAATACAATTCAGTTCAAAGTTGAATCCTTTATACTTTTCTCTGCAGAATTTTAATTTTTGTTACTTCCAGCAATTGTTGCATTTACAGACGACGCAAGGTGGTGAAGTTTGGACCAGTGGGATTATTCTAAGCAACGCATAATTACAGTCCAATGTCCATGTTCTCTTTTTTTTTGCATTATTTAATATGCGGATAAGGATGTTGAAAATGAGGTTTTATTATTTTAAATATGTGACCGCCTCAAAATTATACATTACTGTACTACTATAGGTATACTATATAGGGCTACACATTTGTGCACTAGTAGCATTTTATATATACATATGTTAAGAATGAAATGAAAATCTATTGTTCAACAAAGATATTTCGATTACAACAATGATAAAGTTAAAACCAAAAAAACAATGATAAAGTTTTGTAGATCTTGTCACTTATGCGTTACAGTACCACTTGCACTCATTTTTAATTTTGATATTGTCCCAAGAAAATCAGAGCAAATGAAAAATTATTTCTCTCGATCGTTTTCGCTATTTTTTTTTTTTTGTTGTTGTTGTTGATAAAATCATTTTCGTTTTTACATATAATAAAATTGTTGTGCTATTAAAATGTAGACAATGTCTGTCCTATTTTGTGTCCGGTTAATTGTAGTATAGCTAAAACTTCTCTTTGGGTAAAGACTTCGGGTTGCCTTGTTTGGTCTGTATAAAAACCTCCCAATTATATAGTCTTTCTTTACCAATAAATGAGGATAAAAAAATGTACTTTTCATTTAGTGAAAAATACTTATATCACTTTACCGATATCAACATATTTTCCCCTCTCGATCTTTAACTTTAATACTTTTGACATTGCGGATTTGAAGCATGTTGCTGTTTTTTGGTAAATTACCCTGTAATTTTACATAATAATTAAGATTATCATAGGGTTAGTTTCTCTTTGAATTGTTTTGCTTCCTTTTGTTAAAGTACAACCAATTGAAGATCTTGTGTTTTCTAAAACGCCAATGTATTTAGTGGGGAAAGATTGGATAAATTATCATCATGCATATAACATACAAACATACATCGGTATTTCAGGATCAAACCCGATTATATAAAGAACAACTAGCAATACATGGTAATATATATAAAAATCTTAATTTATTTCCCGGTGAAGATATTAGTTATTTCTCTATGCAATGACCATATCGACTCCTTTATTGACTATATGAAAGTGAATTGTATTGTGTTAAATTGATATGATAAGAATTGTAGTTCTATATATGTTACTCTTTCCTTAATAGATCGGTGGCTGAAAGTCCGGTGCCTCGACCTTGAAGTTGGAGACAGCCCGCTTGGCATGCAGGGTCGCAAACCTCTTGCGTTGCGTCGGTCACTTTCATGCATATTGGCATACATTCTCTGTGGCACAACGGCATTACTTTCTTTCCTAATAGTGCTTCTTGTCCGGCCACAATCCTCGACCATGACAAAACCGTAATTATCATCAAACTCAGGGTGGCTAAGTTTCTTCTCTGGCTCTTCATTCTTTTTGCTTCGTATGTGAAAAGATCTGATCAGAGAGAGAGAGAGAGAGAGAGAGAAATGGTTTCCTGGAAGACAAGGAAATGATTTTGTACAAAAGGGAATGGTCAAGATTCAAAAGATAGCCATGGCCTCAGACGTGTTCGGTGTTTCCGCAAATTTTCACTATTTTTAAGAAATCAGAGAAGAGAAATAAAATTTGACACACAAAAACAAAAACCACGAATGTTCTTATCCTGTTTTAATTTACTTTTTGGAGGGGATCATGTGAATTTCCTTATACTAATTTTTTACTTATAGTATGGATTTTTACTTTCTACAAATACCGAATGATGATGCGAAAAAGAATTTGAAACATGCTTACACATATAAAAACAACATACACATTTTTTAACTAGTGGAGATGAAGGATCGATTTTATTTATGTCATCTATTATAATTAAGTACACTATAGTCGGATTTCGATATTAGAGAGATAAATTACAAACAAGTTTTTTTTTTGATAAAGGGTTTTCAATTTACAAACAAGTTGTAAAAAGTTCAACCATAGTTGAGCCGAAACATCTCATTTTGGACGAAGAAACTTCCTTGTAGAAGAGGAATCAAGTGAAACGTCTGCATGCAGTTCATAAATAACAATTTTATTTCGGTCAGCTAAAAATCACAAAATGAAGATATTAAGTTATTAACCCATGGAAAAAATAGTGTTTGTTTTTTATTAGCACAAGTAGAAAAATCTTGAAGATTAGCATTTTGTATAAAGCAATCTAAGCCTTTCGTTTCCAACAAAAATGAAAACTCAAATGGATCATGAATTGAGAAGAGGTAACTAGACCTGGCTAAACCTAAGAGGATGATCCTCGCCGTGTAACTGGAGGCTACCGCTCACAAAAACGAGGATTCCGCCGCAACCACCAGCCATTGAAGAAGGCTGAGAATCAACGGTGCTTATCACATGGCGACATTGATCGAACGGAAGTTGCTTAAGCTTGTTGGAAATGTCTTCGACGCCGTAGATCTTTTGGCCTTCAAAAGTGAGCAATGATGTGGGATTGTAGAGAGTGGAAAGAGAAGATCGATCGTTGTCAAAGAGATGGTAGTAGTGATTCACAAACGCCCTCGCCACTTCTTCTTCAATTCCTTTATTTGTCTCTGCCATTGTCGAAAATTGATTTTGTTAGCAAAACCAAAAGAGGAATAAACTTTTAAGGAGGGAAAAAGATGCTTTGTTTGCAAGAAAAGTTCAAAGCAAAGAAGAAAAAGATACCCTAAAAAGGAATTTCTTGTGAGTCAAGTCTTGCATAAATCTTCTCAAACTTTTAACCAATAAGAAGCAATGTTTGTTTGGTGGATTACTCTTCTCAATGGACGCACAAACAAGCAAGAACACATGATTCATCAGTTCAAGAAACTCAATTACCTTAAACGTCAAGATCCATCAATGCCAACTTGATGGCCAATATGGATAAATTTCATAACCAGTCTTCCAATTATCCAAGTAAACAACTTTCCTCACAGCCCATAACGATGTGAACAGAGCCAAAAACATAACCGCCCTCTGCTCGTTGAGGTCCTCAACTCGTACAAGAACATTGGTGACAAACGCCAAGAGCAATCCAACCACAGTGTACAACAACCCTACAATGAATCCCTCTGCTCCAAACTGAAAATCTGATCCTTGGTAGAACAAAACCAGCTTGCTTCCATCTTCATGATCTCGGACGTAAATTGGGGACTCCTTGATGATGTTATGCATCGTGCCGGCGACGCTGAGGAAGTAGACGAAAACGGCGCCGTATAGCCAGAATCTACGGTCGTTGAGAAAAGTTTCTCCCTTTAGAAGCTTTTTGATCAGAATCGGAGTCGAGACTACGATCAAGGCTGCGATTACACTGATCAGTGTCTTTGACAGAAGCGGAGGCCGATGGATCGGGCCGACGGAGAGATTGGTTCGACGCTCGACGAACTCTGCCATTGACTCCGCCATTCCGGCGAAGTCTCCGTCTTTCATTAGACCGGATTTGTCCTGTAGATTCTCCATCAGAGGGTCGACGAGGCAAACGTGCGGTATCGATTGGACGGCGAAGCGGTGGAACAGAGATTCGGAATCGATCTCGCAGAAGAAAATCTTTGTTCCGTTGGATCCATCGTTGTTGTTGTTGGCGATGAAAGAGGCGGAGACGATTCTGAATTCGCGGCGGAACTCTAGAAGCCGGAGCTCTCTGTTGCTGTGGAGGTAGACGGCGTCGAAGAATATTATGAGGGAGTAAGGTCTGGGAGTGGCTACGGAGGTCAGGAATCGGGAAACGCCGTCTTCGTCGAGACGGATCACGCCTGATTCGGCGGCTGATCGGAGCGAAACAAGGTCTCCGATGAGATCTGATTCCGAATCCGTGAGAGCTATGGATACGAACGATAGTGATAATGCTAGTAAGAGGAAGAAACGAGATGAGAGATTGTCATGAACCGCCATTTTCGATTTCTCCGATCAGATTCGTAAAACGAGGGAAACGGAATTTGCCGCAAGAGTGAAGAGACCTGAAATGTTTTAAGTGTTCTATTGAAGACGACGTCGTTATTGTTCAAAATTAAAGGGTTTATTACTTAACGGAAAATACAAAATAGTAAAAGATTTTGACAGCTGTGGGATTTGAACCCACGCCCTTTCGGACCAGAGCCTAAATCTGGCGCCTTAGACCACTCGGCCAAACTGTCTTGTTGTTTATTCAGTGACTCTTAACGATTAAAGACACATAATTATAAGAAATGTGCCTTTCATACGCAATTCCTCGCCGACCTCTCTGATCTCTCTCTATTAGGACCGACATGTTGAAAAATATCATATATATGAAACATATGAGAAACCATTTATAGTAAAAAAATATATATATATTCACAGCTAACTGGTGACTGAAAACATTCTCACACAGGTAAACATAAAAGAGATATGTACTCATATACATATTTGAAAAAAGTTCATCAGTGGTAAATCGTTACATGAGTAATTGCTGTATAACTGTATTAGTCCATTATTGTATATTCTTTTTGTATGGATATGAATGTCTCAGATCTAAGATATGCAGAATGCAAATACAGATAATAAAAGTATATACGCAACTCGACCTTGTTACTCGATCTAGATTGTGTTAATTTATAATGTACAAATGTATAGAATACCGGATAATGGAAGAGACAGTCCAATTTACTTATCTTTGACAACCGAATAAATAACGTGCTTGTTTCACGTGCTCTGTCTTCGGCTCCCAAAAGATGAGAGGCTTGAACAAAATATTATGGTCTGAAGCATGTTGGCTATTTTTCTTAAGTTTGTTAGTTATCCGGTTAATTATTTCTGATGGTGAACATGGTTTTCACTTTTCAGTAAGTTTGTTCAAAATCTACCTTTGGATCCAAAGTGTTAAGTAAATGTTTTCACGTACCTTTCACTGCTTTTCTCTATTTGTGTAAACAATCGCTCTGTGCCTTTCGGGTCATAGCTGTTCTCCATATTGATTACATGTCATTTGACCAAACTTCAAATATGCAGATGTCGTTGTTATTGTATCATTACAATGGCCGATAAGTTTAAATTCTCATAGATGATTTTTTGAGATTTACATATGGAGAGGTCTGAACAAATAATTAAATAGCTGAGAGAAAAAAGAAAAACAAAGAATTCCCAAGAATTAAAAAATGTTTTTGTTTTTGCTTTTATGTGAACATTTCCACTTGGTGGCAGCCTGGCGATCCAATGATTCTCCATGTTCTCTTGTTATTTTTCATAATGCCCACAGTACCCTTGTAAGCTAATCAATTTAGTTCAGTGACCAGTCTCAGTTCTCAACTTAATGACTTAACCGGTCGGTGTTGAAGACAGTAGCAAAACAGAAGGCGTTCAGTTTATAATTCGATCTAACCAAACAGTTTACAGTAGTAATATTAATCATTGAGATTACTGTTAATTTTCTCTGTTCTTTAATTAATCTATTATTTATGCTTTCTCTTACAACTTTAATAATTGCTAGTATACAATCTGAAGATACTAGAAAAAAAAAATCGTATCCGAAGTCCAAACCCACAAATAAAATTCAAAAATTAAGAAGAATTATTAATGCCTTAATGGTTAGAATAGTAATTTTTCCGGTCTTTAAATTAAAGCAATAAAGCTCCATCGTCTTCTCACTCACGGAACCAGAGAAATCACGTTCTCCGTCTCTCTTCGAAAAGATCGAAGCAGAGAGAACCAATGGAGACGAGAAGAACAATAGTCACGAGCTGTTCTTCCATGGCGGCTCTGTTCTTGTTCATTGCATCTATAATGGCGTCTTCCTCTATCGCGGCAACACCGACACAGTCATTCGAAGACAATTTCAATATCATGTGGTCTGAAAATCACTTCACGACTTCCGAGGATGGACAGATCTGGAATCTCTCCTTAGACAATGATACCGGTACGTTCAAATGAATAAAATCCATTTTGCTATCCGGAAAGTCCGGTTTCAGATCAATGTAACTTGTCTTTTAAAATCATAATTAGACTTGTGTATTTATAAAATCTCTAGTAAATTTATATGATTGGAGGTAATCTCTAGATCAATTCATTTATCTTCAAATTTTAAATATTTTTGATGGAATTAAATAAAACAGGATGTGGGTTTCAGACGAAGCACATGTACAGATTCGGATGGTTCAGTATGAAGCTAAAACTCGTCGGCGGCGACTCCGCTGGCGTCGTCACCGCTTACTACGTGAGTCGTTGTTCTTTTTTAATTTTCACTCTCGTAAAGAAATAGTAGTTTTTCTTATAGTTAACTTTCCTTTTTTGTATGATTAATTTAATTTTGTTTGGTGAGCAGATGTGTTCAGAGAATGGAGCAGGACCGGAGAGAGACGAGATAGATTTCGAATTTCTAGGGAACCGAACCGGGGAGCCCTACATAATTCAAACCAATGTGTATAAGAACGGAACCGGGAATCGGGAAATGCGACATTCCCTCTGGTTCGACCCAACCAAGGACTACCACACTTACTCCATCCTTTGGAATAACCACCAGCTCGTGTAAGTCCCCTCTTAATCTCTAGCTAAAAACATAGAGTACCACTCGGTTAATTTGAACCGAACCGGAAGTATTCCACAAAACTAAGAATACCTCAAGAAACCAAAATCAATTCTGAACCAACATTCCAATCAGAACAAAATAATTTAATTTACTAACATACTTTCAGACTAGATCTAATCCGGTTTCAACTTTATGGCAATATTTTAACAATTTATCGCTTAACATTTAATAAACTCAAACGGTACAGATTCGTTAAAACGAATCTAAACACACTAGTTAGTTAATGCCTTAATGGGTGACAAAATATTAGTATCGTTAAAGACTTAAAGTATTAAAAATCTATGGACTTTTGGTAAATTTCAATCTAGTTTCACATTTTCAACCGACAAAAATAAAAAAACCGAACCAAAGCTAGCCTACCTTAACCATAAATTAACAGAATCAAAGTAGAGCAAATCGAACCTAATTGGTCATTAAAAGCTAATTTTACTGATTGGTACAATGAGTAATCCGGTTCAATCCAATGCAAAACCAGGTTCTTCGTCGACAGAGTACCGATCCGAGTGTACAAGAACAGCGATAAGGTACCAAACAACGATTTCTTCCCGAACCAGAAGCCAATGTACTTGTTCTCCAGCATCTGGAACGCCGATGAATGGGCAACACGTGGCGGTCTCGAGAAAACCGACTGGAAAAAAGCTCCTTTCGTCTCTTCATACAAGGACTTCGCCGTGGAAGGATGCCGTTGGAAAGATCCATTCCCTGCTTGCGTTTCCACCACAACGGAGAACTGGTGGGACCAGTATGACGCGTGGCACTTGTCCAAGACACAGAAGATGGATTATGCGTGGGTGCAGCGCAATCTCGTCGTATACGATTACTGCCGCGACAGTGAGAGATTCCCTAAACTTCCTTGGGAGTGTTCCATTAGTCCTTGGGCTTAAACTCAATTTTGTTCCTTTTATTTAAACTTAAGCATTATAGTGGTAATAATGATTGCTGTAATAATTTTAATCCTTTCTTTTGCATTTTATTTTGTTTGGATTATTATGTCCTCTGTTTATTTATTTAATTAATTATTTACACAGTCCGTTTTTATATATCACAACTTTGATTTTCAGTATGTTTATCGTTGAGATGGTAATATTCATGTGTAATAAAGTCACTAAAATAAAATTGGCACGTAGTAATGTAGGATGGTCTACCATACAAAGAACAATGGCCACAACTATATATGTAGCGTTAACTTAAGCTTCTGGCAAAAGAATTTATTTTCCACACAAATTATAAGACACATGTTCCATATTGATAAGTAATAACTGGTTATATTACTCTCTCTCAGTGATGCTCTTTCAGAAAAAATATCTTTAAGATACAGATAGTACATACAAAACAGTAAAAAATGTTAATATCTCTCTACCTCCTCTGTTTTATAATCCCGTAATCTTCCTGAAGCTGATCAAATAAATACTCAAACTCCAGTCTCCCTCCGAGCCCTCCAAAGCATTCCGATCATCGGAAACTTGCATCAGCTCGGGGAATTGCCTTCTATGAGAGATCTTGATGCCTTCTATGAACGGATGATTGATTGATCTCCATAAAGAGAAAAAAGTGTAATTTCTTTCCTAATAGTGCTTCTTGTCCGGCAACAATCCTCGACCAGGACAAAACCGTAATTATCATCAAACTCAGGGTGACTAAGTTTCTTCTCTGGCTCTTCATTCTTTTTGCTTCGTACGTGAAAAGACTTGATCGGAGAGAGATATAGAGTGAGAAATGGTTTCTTGGGAGACAAGGAAATGATTTTGTACAAAAGGGAATGGTCAAGATTCAAAAGATAGTCATGGCCTCAGACGTGTTCGGTGTTTCCGCAAGTTTTCACTATTTTTAAGAAAACAGATCGAGAAGAAAAATAAAATTTAACACAGAAAAAAAAACCACGGATGTTCTTATCCTGTTTTAATTTAATTTTTGGAGTGGATCATGTGAATTTCCTTGTACTAATTTTTTCACTTATAATATGGATTTTTACTTTCTACAATTACGGAATGATGATGAGAAAAAGAATTTGAAACATGCTTTAGTCATGGTCGGAGGTGGAATTCCATGTTAAACGCTTACACATATAAAAATAACATACACATTTTTTAACTAGTAGAGATGAAGGATCGATTTTATTTATTTCATCTATTATAATTGGCTACACTAGTCGGATTTCGATATTAGAGAGATCGATTTAGCTGTCACTAGTCGGATTTCATAGCTACACAAGTTGTAAAATTTTATGACAGAGGGATTGTACAAGGAATGCACCATTTAGCCCAAGACCTACGCACTTTCATTGGTTACTCTTGCAGAGAGTTTTACCCTGCAAAGCACAGCATAATCAAGCAAAGCAATTATGATATAGAGAGAGCGAGAGACATAATCACGCTGGCGTCGTCACCGCTTAACTATGCACCACAAATAAAAGTCTTCATCGGCGATGACTATGGGGCTTTTCACCAACACTTTGACATGGTAAACGCCATTGACAGCCTCTCTAATCGAATGTTGAAGAACAAGCGCAGATCTTTTAGTCGGAGAGGTTCGTCGTCTTTCTCCACTGCTTCTAACGAATATATCACTTCTCTGTCTCATCATCTGGCAAACTCCTACTCACAGCTGTCTCTGTAATTCTATGAACCGCAACTTCGACGGATCTCACTTTGCTTGGCGACGGCCACGGGCGTCCCCAGTGTATCGTCTTCGGGATTTGCTTCTTGTTGTAACATGGAGACAGCTTGTTAAGAACTCGAGGGATCTCTTCTACACGTTCAGAACGTGAGTACATGTTGCTCACCATCTTTGCCGATCTCTTTCGTCTCGCTGAAAAGAAAGGATTTTCAATACTTTTATGAATGAATCGTCCTAAATTTAACGAGAAGAAGACATCACTTACATGATTCTCCTTCTTCGTAAGATGCGGATAAAGATTCGACAAGATCTTCGTGCGCTGTGACCTTTGTCTTGAGAAGCGAGCTCCTGGCCCGAAAAAGGCTCCCCCAACTGAATTGTTCACCATAGTTGATTAATTCCTGACGAGCGTGGTTGAAATCTTCTTCTCCAAAGGTAGACTCGTAAAGCTGAATCCAACGATCATTGCTGTATTCGCTCAAATCAGCGGTGGCTTCTTCAAGCCTAGCAAGTTCTTGAGCACCAAGGCAGGGAATGATTTTTTTCAGCAAATCCGGAGGTATGTTGTTGAGATCGCTGAGATGCTCCACATGTGCTATCAGCGATTCCAGGCAGATATCGACGAGAGATGGTGGGGCCATTTCGAGAAATTTCTCTGTAAAATGGAGACGAAGCGGAAGAGAGAAATTCCAATTCCCGATTTCCAAATTCCAATTTCTTGAGAAGCAAGACTCTCCCGTTTTTATGATTCAAAGCAAAACTGGAGACGAAGAGAGCAACGGCTATTTTTTCAAGAAGAAACGAAGAGCAAACAGAGCAAAAAAGAGCAAACTGGAGACGAAGAGGAAGAGATTTCTCTGTTCTAGGGTTTACAATTAGCAAGACTCTCAAAGAAACTGCAGGAGACGAAGAGAGAGAGCAACGGCTATTTTTTAAACGAAGAGTATGCTTGCTTGTGTGATACTTATAGGGTTTACAATTAGCAAGACTCTCAAGAGAGCAACGGCTATTTTTTAAACGAAGAGTATGCTACTTATAGCGTAACATAAGGTATGGCGAGGTTTGACCAGAACACTTCTCTTGCCTCTGGAGCCCATTCGGTTAACCATTCTGACGGATTTTTCAGCGCAAACCTCAGCACCCCAACGTGTTTTGAAAGACACAAAAGCTTCTGGCATTACGTTCTTGCCATCTTTCTTTACTTTCTTCCCTTCACTCCGCTGTCTAAGAGAACCGAAAACCCCAACATGTCTTACTCTTTGCACATAAACAAAAGGAAGAGCAAGATAGAGACGCCCTGCTGTTTTTAGCTGTGATAAACGCTGAAAAAACACGGACGATGAAGAAAGAGGAAGGATAAGTCATAAATTGCTTTTCAAAACCTTTGACATCGAAAACGTTGTTTTTCTTTATTCTTTTATTCTTTGGCATTGGGTGAATTATTATGTGACGTTGGTCCGTATATAGTGTATGAGGCTCTTTCTTCAAAGTTGAAATCTTGATAGTCTCAGGTTTGCTTTAGATTCACATTTTTTTATTTTCTTGTCAAGCGTTACGTAGAGCATGGATGATGGAAGGAATACAACAATTAGTTTTATGTGCCAGGTAGACTACATGTGTGATGTCCTTATTTTAATATACCCAAGATTAAAAGTCAAACCTTGACGTGCAGATTTTTTAATTACCGGAATTTTTAAACTTGCATGTACTATATTCGCTCACCAAGTGATGAATCACGATGTCGATAAAAACATCTCATTTTGTTTGACAATTTCAAGTTCTTACAGTAATATTTGCGTATGTATATGCAAAAAAAAATGTTAGAAGAAAATAACAAAGCGTATCGGTCAGACAACTTTGTAACATTATAGATTTTTTTCCTCACTCTGTTAAATCTTTGAGCAGGAGAAGGAATATTAACGGCATGGAATTATTGAGTAGGAGAATGAAAGATTATCAGTAGCGGATAGGAAAGAAAAACAAATGAATGTATGAAACCAAAAAAAGAAAGAAAGAAAGTGAAGGTAATTTGAATTTGGATATTTTACTGTCCATTTGGTTTTTGTTTCCTTGAAAGAAAGAAATTCCTTGATATTCAATTTGATGACATCATTTCCCTAGCCTATATGGTATAATATCTCACAAAATAGCAGAAGATATATACAAAACATAAAAATGAAACTTGCATTGTCACCTTTACCTTTTTTAATTTCACCAAATAGTCTTAATCTAATTAAGTCCGTGACCAATATCTTTTTAATAAGAAAAATTACAGCTGACTTCTTTCCCTTCCATTTCCACTATTCTTTTCTCAAGTTGACAATGGAAGAGCAAGACTACTCCATTAGTCCATTCTTCTATATAAACCAAATTAGCGATGCACATTAAAATTTATAACCTTCAACAAAAAACCCCGAAACTTTTGAAACGTCGTCAAAAACCCCCAGAAATAAAGAAAATGGCGATCAATTTAGTCCCTCTACTTCTCTCCCTCATCACCATCTCCATCATCTTCAACTCATCCGCCATTGCAGCTCCCGAGACAACAGCTGATTCCGTTTTCTCAAACACAACAAGCCAATGGCTCAGTTACACGAAGAAGCACTTCAACCAATCCGCGATCGAATTCTCTATCCCCACGATCATCGCCGCCGTTCTCTCATTCCTCGCCGCATCGATCTCCAGCGCCGGAGGCATCGGCGGCGGCGGTCTCTTCATCTCGATAATGACGATCGTCGCCGGGCTCGAGATGAAGACCGCATCGAGCTTCTCGGCGTTCATGGTGACCGGCGTCTCCGTCGCGAACGTCGGGTGCAATCTCTTCGTGAGAAACCCTAAATCGGGAGGCAAAACCCTAATCGATTTCGACTTGGCTCTCACGCTTCAGCCGTGTCTGCTTCTCGGAGTCAGCCTCGGCGTGATCTGTAACCGTGTGTTCCCTAACTGGCTTGTGACGTCACTCTTCGCCGTCTTCCTCGCGTGGTCGACGATGAAGACTTGCAAAAAGGGGCTTTCTTACTGGAATTCGGAATCGGAGAGAGCCAAGGTTAGGAGAGACGGTGACGAGGATCGGATCGAGGGAGCGAGATCGCCGCTTCTGATTAACGAAGGAGAAGAGACGGGAAAAGGAAAATCCAGGTTTCCATGGAAGAAGCTCGGAGTTTTGGTGATCATCTGGTTCTTGTTCTTCTCCATTAATCTTCTTCGCGGAAACAAATACGGCCAGGTACGTATGAATCGGATCATTGTTTAATTTATATCAAATTGAAGTTCTTACACATTTTTAAGATCTTAAGTTTTGTTTTGTCTCTTTCCTTTTTCCCTCCAAAATATTTTATTCTGTAACTAACTTTTGACGGCAAAATTGCAAATATGTGACGTCAAATATTACAAAATATATGAATTGGAGAAAAATTTGGCTGCCATGCATAAAGTTTGAAGGCTGGTGGGATAAACTTTTAGAACAGAACATTTGATGATTATGCTATATACTGAAATGCTCTGTTTATGGTATTTTACAAGCAGATAAATTGTTTAGGTGGTATAAGCAATGAAATGAAATGATAGAAGTAAATGGTCAAGTAACAAATGATGTATTAGTGATAAATGTTATTGTAGATTGCTTCCAACACAAAAATTGAACGTCGTCTAGTTTTAAAGAGTTATACATGTTATGCTGGATTTTAACTTGATAAAAATTGATAGTTTCATACTTTGTATTTGCATAGGGAATCATATCGATCAAGCCATGTGGAGCTCTCTACTGGATCCTCTCGTCTATGCAAGTTCCTCTCTCTATCTTCTTCACTCTCTGGATTTGCTTCAGCGACAGTGTTCAAAGCAGCCACACATCACGTAACCAAGACTCTGAAAAGGTTTAACATTTGATCAAATTAATTAGCTTTCTGTTGGCCAAAGTCAACAACTTTGACTTTGACAAATCTGACATTGAAATCCGTAGGACACTGGAGATGTGAGAACGAATAATGGGGAAAGTCTGAACAAATTTATGCTCCCTGTTATGACTCTCCTAGCTGGAGTTTTAGGTGGCCTTTTCGGTATTGGCGGTGGAATGCTCATAAGTCCTCTTCTTCTCCAAATCGGTATTGCTCCCGAGGTATGTTCTTAACTCTTGTTCTTGAGCGCTTTAGCTCGAAAACTAGTGTTCAAATAAGCGTTATACGCTAGACGATAAGATACATATATATATATATATACTATACAAGAAAACATATGAAATGTCATGATACATAAATAATATACTTCAAATTTTCTATCCAGGTAACGGCAGCAACCTGTTCTTTCATGGTTTTGTTTTCTTCATCAATGTCTGCAATCCAGTACCTATTACTTGGAATGGAACACGCTGGAACCGCTGCGATATTCGCTATGGTCTGCTTCATAGCGTCTTTGGTCGGACTAGTGGTGGTTAAGAAGGTTATAGCCAAGTATGGGAGGGCTTCCATCATTGTGTTTTCAGTGGGTATCGTCATGGCACTTAGCACTATATTGATTACAACCCATGGAGCTCTTAATGTCTGGGATGATTTTGTCTTTGGTCGCTACATGGGTTTTAAGCTACCATGTTGAAAATAACAACAAAATGTCTAGCTCTTTACGTGTTTCATTTAGTATCTTGGATCTTGATTTGTAGTTTTCTTTTGGTCTCTTTGAATGGTTAAGGCTGTAAGCTAAGCTACCAAGTACCAACCAATCATAATGCAGTCTGAATAACAGAATTTTGTAGCATAATGTTTATGTGAATGATCAAGACATCAACTAAATCATTAAGCCCTCAATCTCATCTAAAACATACAGTATTTACCAACAATCCCATGATTTAGCCGCTGATAAGAATTGAAGTTTTTTCATTTTAACATATTTTTTTTAATGTTAATCAATACTTTTTTCGTTAAATGATTTCGTCATTTCTCTATTTTTCCATGATTTTTTAACTTAGGGGGGGTATTAGTGACAGTATTTTGATGGAATTTAAAGGAATTGACGATTCCATTCAATTCATGTGTTATTCGAGTATATGTTTTTTCAATTCCTTTAAATTTCGGTGTTATTCGGTGGAGGATTTGTAGTCATTTTTTCTAATTCTTTTAAATTCCGGTGTTATTCAAATTCTCAATTTTTCTATTCCATTAAATTCTGGTGTTCCAAAACACCGGAATTTGTAATGGAATAGAAAAACTGAATTTCCATAATTTCCATAATAAATTCCGGTGTTCCAAAACACCGGAATTTCCATAATTCCGGAATTTCTTTTCTTCTTATAAATTTTGTAATTTTTTGTTAAGAACCAAAAAAAAGTTTTAGAGATGGAGGAAGAAATAATTTAGAAACTATACAAAAGTTTTTAGTATTGATTTGTGTGAAAACTAATAATAAAAAATAATTTAGAACCAAAAATATGGTTTTAGGGATGAAGATGGTCTAATAAATTCTACAAAGAAAAATTAAAGTCAAATTAGTGGAAAACAGGAAAACAAAGGGACTCTTTTGTTCAATATATACTTGGAAGCCAAAATCTCGGTTTCAAAATCTCAGTTTCAACCTCGAGTCCCAAAGCCAATTTCACACAACCCTAGAAACCGCTTAAAGTCATGTCAGGAAAACGTTTCAATCCCTTGGAAAACCCTCCGGCGGCTTCTTCAAGCGACGAGGACGACTTTGTGGAGACTTCAATCGGAGAAGGGGACGAGGTCGTAGAAAGCTCGTCGGAAGAAGAAGATGATGATGCGTCCTCCGGAAATCCATCCGTGAAGAAGCCAGTGGAGAAGAATCAAGTTTCCGATTCCGAATCTGGGTCGGATGAAGAAACCGACTCCGACAACGAAACCGAGAGAAAAGCTCCGGTTAAGAATCCAGCATCCTCCGCTGTGAAATCTGTCGCCGTAACCAAGGATTCGGCGGCTGCGAAGAGCCAAGATTCCAAAAAGGTTAAATCTTCTTCAAAATCTGCGACTAAGAAGCGTCCTAGCGAGACTGATGTAGCAGACGCAAAGAGGGTCAAGAGGGTTTCGGGAGAAGACGAGAAAAAGAGCGGTGAAGAAGAAGAGACGAAGAAAACCCCTTTTACGCGAGTTTGGACTGAAGACGACGAGATCACTGTTTTGCAAGGCTTTATCGATTACGAAGCCGATGCCGGAGCAAGTCCTTTTGTCAACTCTACTGCGTTTTATGAATCGGTGAAGAAATCTATCAGCTTTGATGTTAAAAAGACTCAGGTAATGGAGAAAGTCAGGGGCTTGAAGAAGAAGTTTGAGAACAATCGTTCCAAAGGGAAGGACGGAGAGGATCCGAAATTTGCGAAGCCTCACGACCGCAAGGCCTTTGATCTGTCCAAGATCATTTGGGGAGATAATGGTTTGTTTCCTGAATCAGCCATGAAGTCTAACGGGAAGTCGAAGAAGAGCAGTAAGCCTTCGAAGGAAGAGCTGATCTCTTCTCTGCTCAATGGTAAAAGCTGTGAAGATGAGGTTGCTGCTAACATAGGAGAAGAATTGGTTGCTTTTGCGAAGCCTGTTCTTGTGACGTCGCTAGCGCGTTTCGGTGGTGTGGATGATCTTGCTGCTCAGCAAGGATGGAGTAGGCTTGCCTCTGAGGACAAGAAGAGGTTCGAGGAGGAGTGGAAACAGTTGCAGCTTAAAGAGTTTGAGTTCTATTCGCAGAGGAGTGGTTTCTTTCATGGACTTGTTACCAAGATGGCTGAAACATTTCGACCAAGCACTTAGATAGATATGGATTTTTTTTTATTTTTGGTTTTGCTCTCTTTTTGTCGTTTTCGTTTTTTTCTCTTAATACAGTTTCATTTTGGAATATTTTGCTGATTTATCAATGTTAAAGAAGCTAGTGAAAGCAGATTAAAGTTTCATATACATATTGTGTTCATGCGCGGCTTCTGTTTTCTTGAGTTCCTTGTTGCATATTCTCTTTGTCTTCTTTTTTAGCAGCAGTGGCTGAAACATAATATGCTGAAGTTACTAATCCATGTACCAGACAAATTATGCCTCCGACAAGGAACAGCCAATGATTCGGCAACTTGCAGAATCTATGCGATTTCGAGTTGGCCAATGTTGCTAGCATCAGCGTTGAGTAGCCGACTCCAAACAAGATCCTAAGACAAAGGAATGTATATAAAAAAATGTGAAATGGGTTCTTTCAAAATTTCGAAATATTGTTGAATGTTTGTGTCTTTGCATTACCAGGAGAGAACAAGGAAAGCGACAGCTAGTATCTTGTTCGCCGTTGCTCTCTTGAAATCTTGCTTGGAGCGAATGTAAATGCAGCCTCCAAGAACATTAGCTGTGATATGGACAATACCAAGAAGCACCAATGCTGCTATCCCCTGAACAAAAGCATCAGAACTCGGGTTTCTTTGACATTGAGAAACCGGATTTCTTGAATGTTGTTGATGTTGATGATGATTTTGTTTTTGCTGTATTCAGACTCAAAACAAAAATGGTTATTGGTAATCAAAATGAACTCTGTTTTTACTCTTATTAGAAACGATTTATAGAACCTTGCTTTGAGCAATCTCGGCTTCGATCCCGAGGACTCCAGCTGAAATGTCTGCACATATGATCAGAACAGAGATCAAGAAGCCAAGTTCACTTTCCATTTTTTTTTTTTTAATTCATAAAATCGTATATACTTTTTTTACTTTGATTACTGTATTTATTTCCATTGTTCTGTTAAAGATTTAAGGAGGAGGAAAGGAATAAGGAAACAGCATCAGATTACTTTCCTAACCCTCCCTCTTGCTACAATACAAAAGAGAGATTCGGTTTTGGTCTCACCCATAAAGTAAAGTTTCATTCCTGTAATTTTGATGCTTTTCTTGTAAATTAAATAATTCTTTTACAAAGATGTGAACTTCAGATTGAAATAAGAGGTTGATCACATATTCACATGTTTGACTCTAAAAATGTCAAAGCTCATTACAGGCAGCATGTGGCCTTATACTCAGTTCTAGAACGTGAAGAGAAGTGAAAAAAGTATGATTACCATATCTTTTTGTTTTATGCAAAATTATTATTGTTTTCCAGGTTGTAATTAAAAAAAGAAATATACATATGGTTAAGATTTGATCAGCTTATAAAAAAAAACTTTTTGATTCTTTTCATTATACTATACGCTTATGGAATCCTTCAGTCTCATTTTGGAAACAATTTGTGCCGATATGGCGAAGCAGGAGAAGACAGAAACAGAGCCATGTCCGAACCAAAAACCAAATCTCCATAGAGTCTCTAACTAATTCACATTTCTCCTTGTGAATCCGAAGACAGATCTTATACAAACATGCGTGGACTTTGGCTTTATCTCAAGAAGTCTCTTAGCTGCTGCAACAAACAGTCAGAGAAGTCAACTGACGCTGGTGATCGAGACAAGGACAGAATCAAGAAGACAAAGAAACCATCTGGGAGCTCAAGATCAATGTCGAATCTGAGAAATGTTGCTGTCACCAATGGAGATGAAAGAACTATGCAGAATCCAAGCTGCTGCAGCTCAAGGACTCTTGAAAGTTCCAAGTTTATAAACACAATGAAACTTGGTTATTCAGACAGATTCAAAGGTTTCCTTAGCGGGGCATCTTCTTCAGATTTACTTTCCGGTCGTTGTTGTTCTGAGAGGTTTGATGTTGTCAGCTCAGACATCTGCGGTTTCGGAGTTATCTCTTGTCGAAAATGTCATGAGAGAGTCAGAGATCTTGATGCGTTTGAGACGCATTACCTTTCTAACCACTCTGGTAAAGACTTGAATTAGATCTCATGTTTCATCGATTTCTGTTTAAGTGTTTTGAAGAGAATTCGAATCGCTTTTTCTTTTTCTTTTTGCAGTCATTAGACTTTTACCAGGAGACTTCTCAAGAACAACTGTGGAGCTAATATGCAATAAAGGCTATTCTCACAAGCTTGGCAAAGCGAAAAGGAACAACATTTCGGCGATTTTGAAAATCCAGAACTTGCAGAGAGTCGTTGCAGAGTTTGAAGATTACAGAGAGCTCGTGAAAATAAGAGCAAACAAGCTCTCGAAGAAACATTCTCGCTGTATGGCTGATGGGAACGAGTTGCTTGCGTTCCACGGTACAACTCTTTCTTGCGGTTTGGGAAACAGATCTTCAAACCTGTGTTTGTCGGATCAATGTGGAGTTTGTCAGATTCTAAGAAATGGTTTCGCTTGTAAAACAAGATCAGATGGGATTAAAGGAGTTCACACAGCATCAACTAGCTCTTCAGCTCTTGAATGTATCCAAATGGATCGAGGAAGAAACAGAGGTGCATTGAAAGCGGTTGTGTTATGTAGAGTTATTGCAGGGAGGGTTCATAAACCTATGCAGAAGTTTGAAGATCCTTTTGGGTTTTCCGAGTTTGATTCATTGGCCTTGAAAATAGGACCAAATTCTACAATTGATGAGCTTTTTCTGTTGAGTACCAAAGCTTTGTTACCTTGCTTTGTGATAATCTTCAAGCCTTGAATAAAACCCAATTACTGTATATGCAAAAAATGATTCTTTTGTTTTAGTGGGCCTGTCATAGATTTAGATGGCCATGTAATTAGCTCGAATAGCTTTCCCCAAATGTGGAAAATGGAAAACTTGGTGGACAAGGCTAGTCCTTTGTATTAATGGTGGAGAAGACTGTGAACGTTACCATTTTCTTCAATTAGGGTTTCTTTGATCTGCTCTTGGCTAAGAATACTCATGTCTCCTCTGCTTCTCACCCGGCCCTCAATGTTCTCCCTCCGGAAACCTGCTTTCGTAAGCTACTCTTCTCTTCTCTCCGATCTTGTCTTGTTCCTTTTTCTTGTCCTGATATTATTTGATTACTCCAAATAACTCAGAGACACTCGAGAGTCAGGTGCTTCTGCATATTCCCCGGAGATGATGATCCCTCCATATGTACCCTTTCATCCTAAACCTTGTGGAAAACTTGTGATTGTCTTTGATCATGGGGTCTCAACTTCAGACAAGAAGGTGCCTCTGGAGTTGGGGGAGGAAAGGGGAACTGTAGGAGCCTCCCATGGCTGGTTAGCTACTTTGAAAGACGGCGTATTGCGTCTCCAAGACGATCTAAACCTAAGTGCATCAGATGTAGACCCCAAACGCATCTCATTGCCACCTCTTGTAACTCTACCTCATTGCCAAACCCAAGTTGTCACCAACATTGCCATGTCTTGCTCATCTCCTGAGGAGGATGACTGTGTTGTGGCTATCAAGTTCTTGGGACCACAACTAAGCTTTTGTAGACCCGCTCAACGTAACTCACAGTGGATCAACATCGAAATCCGAAACTCCAGTTTCTACTCCTCCCCTGTCATGTTTTCCAAGAAAGATGAGATGTTTCGCATGCCTTCTTCTGGAGGTCACCTCATTGGATCATGGGATCTCCACAGACACATGCACAAACCAAAGCTGTTGAATGTGCGGTTCCGAAACCTCCCCAAGTTGACAAAGTCCATGTGCCAGCTTTTGGATTCGTGTTACAGAAGCGAACATCTGGTGGAGTCACCAGGAGGATGTGGAACTTTCATGGTCAAGTGGTACAGGAAGAAAACCAGAGGCTTGCATAAGATGAAAACAAAAGCTGTTATGGTGTTCAAGCTTGACGATCAAGGAAACGCTGTTTACACTCAAGACATTGGAGATGTCTCCATTTTCCTCTCAAGGTCTGAACCTTTCTGTGTCTCTACAGCAGCTGGAAGCTACTTGTCGCCTGTAGACCCTAACCACGTCTATATTCAGGATTACGACGAGCATGGATTTGTGAATATCGGCATCCCTCTTCGTGTTGACGCTGACAAGGTCATTTCTGGACATACTCCTAAGTCCTAACCCTGTCCCTTGCTATATTCCACCTCAATGTACAAAATATAGAGTTTATAATCAATGAGTTTATTTAAGTTTGTTGTATAACCACGCGTTGTTTGGAATGGAGTATTATTTATATGTGTGTGTGTGTGTGTGTGTTTGTTTATGCTATCTCGATAAGAAAGAAAGGGTAATCAACATAAACAAATTTAAAGTGTTACTAGTATCGATCGTAATGTAATAGGGAGCTATTATCTAGTTTAGTCTGATAATTTCTAGATGTAGAAGATGATGTGTAGATCAAAAACAACAAAAATATGAAAGGAATTCGAAGTGGTATATACTTTATAGCAAGCATTCACCGTTCTTGGTGTAAAATCCACGTGTGCATCGGTCTGCCACGTAATCGACCGTAAATATTATATTTGAATAGGGATAGTTTCGTATTTTAATCCTTTTAAGGTGCAAAAAAAAAAAAAAAACATTTTTCCGTTCATCGAGGAAGAAAGGTTTTTCGCGTATTAAAATCCGAGAGGCGGAATAGAATCTGAAGCTGAATCAGACGAACCGTAGCGTCGAATAACCAAACCTTGAGAGCGAGAGCGAGAGAGAGAGAGGGAGGTGTTCGTCTTCTTCGTCCCGTCTCCGGCGGAGAAAATCTCAATCTCAATCTCAATCGAAGAAGGGAACTAAGCGATAGGATCAGATTAAGTTGTGCAACGATGTCGAAGAAGAAGGCGGCTGGTAGCACCATGACGCTTAAGGACTTCCATGGCGGCTCCATACCATCTGATCTCCCTCTCCCTTCCGCTCCTGGAGTGTAAGTCTCCACAGATTCATATTTATTTCCTTCTTCTCCTTTTTTTCCCCTTCGGATCGTCTCCTTCTAGTTGGTATGCTTATCAGAGATAGATCAAATCCTTGTTTCGGTTTGTGAGATTCGAGTGATGTTTCTTCGTTTATTCCTAGGGCTATTAGATCTCTATCGAAATTTTTGCTTTCTGATTGTTTAGGTCTATTGATACCATCCTTGAATCGGATGAAAAGTGTGTGTGATTTGACATCGCCGTTTTGAGCTCTCTCTCTCATTTTCTATCAATTTTCATTTGCAGGATTCCGAAGACTACTACGGATCGACCTGTCTTTGATAGAGCGCCTTGGGGTAATTCAATCGGCAGACCGGATCAGAGGACAAGGCCGAGTTCGTCTCATACTATAAGAACTTTCGATGATAAATCACTGTTTCTGCCTCACACAGCGAATATTGGACGCAATTTCAGCGAAGATGAGCGGAAGCCTCTGGATGGTCACTCGGGTCCTCGTAGAATGGTCAGTGATGATGTTTTCCGGGTTGCAAATAGCCGTCTTGAGGTGAAAGCAGCAGACTCGGTTTTAGCCGGGAGACAAAGCGGTTGGTCAGCGCCGGCTGGTCCTTTCCCTGGGAGGATGAATGATGTGACTCATCCTGTGACTGGGGCTGGTAATGGTGAGAGCTCAGTGTCAGGGACTCACTCTAATGCTTGGACTGCGAGGAAGGAGGTTCCAGTGGCTAACAATGAGCCGGGACAGTCTCCATGGACTACACAGCCAGCTGTTTCTAATTTGGTCCATACAAATGCGCTTGAGCCTTCAGTGAGATGGCAGTCCAAGCTTTTGGTTCCTTCTCAGATGGGTCCTAATGAGCCACATGGGACACATGTAGAACGGGGCGTGGTCGCTGAAGATGCAATCCAGGGTGGGAGAAAGTTCTCGCGTGAGTATGAAAAAGTTCCTGGTCCAGCTTATGTGGACGTCAAGGAAGCAAAAGCTGTAGCAAGCAACAGCAATAAGCCTCTTCTAAATTATTCTGACGTTAGGCAACCAGCTACCCCTACTGAAGTCGTGGAGCGACCTAAGCTGAACCTGCTGCCTCGGACGAAACCTCTTGAAGTCGTTGAGAAACCTGTGAATGATGGAAAACTGGTACTGGTTATGAGTTTTTGAGCTGCCTATTTGTTCTTTAGGTTTCATTATTGGTCAACTGTTGATGGCTCAGCTATTATCTATGTTTGCAGGAAAATGGTGCTTCTAATCTTATTCAACGTGAAACTGTTTATGCGACACAGAAAAGTATGAACAGTTCAAAACATGGTTCGTCTGCAGATGAGATTTCTAACCAGCCGGCTGAGCGCCCCAAGGTGTATCTGAAGTCTGTTGCACAGTTGCTCGAGCAACCAGAAGTAAAGCCTGAAAAGGAAAGGTAAGAATTTTTCAAGGTTCTATCAAGCTATGGGGTACTAACATATATCGTCCCAGCTCAGTCCTGATTAATTTGGAGCTTGGGGACATTAGTGATACAGAAAAAAATTGCTTATTTTCTCAAAATCTGTCCTGGCTGATGGCAAATACTGAAAGGATTATGCTCTGAGTGGTAACATTTTTTGGTATCTATTCGAATTGAAAGAGATGCTGGTATTAGCTTTGTCAAACTAACTTAAGAAGTCCAAAGATGGTAGCATATGCTAAAACACTGAATTTAGCTAATAAGCACATAGTTATTTTGGCTAGCTAATCTTTTTGTCGATCATAAAAGCTTACGTTTTCTGGTTTCGTGATGCAGAAACGCGGTTTTTGGCGGTGCCAGACCACGAGAGCTGGTGAGTGCGATTTGTTTCGTCTTGTTGTCTAACTCTCTCTTGTTAAGTTACACGTTGTTCATCATCATTTGATTTCTTGGCTTTGCAGAGTCATTTACTTTTGCAACCTAATCTTAACCTCTCTATTGTGAAACTAGGTGTTGAAGGAGCGAGGCATTGATGAGACCGAGCACCACAAATTGGAGCAACCATTAGACAGGTATAACAGGTTTCCTCTACCTCTCACAGTTCCATTGGGATCAACTATCTAATTCGAAGTTCTGATTACGTTATCTGTTTATACCAAAAGGACGGTCCTGAAACCAATCGAGAGAGTTCCAGAGCACGCAAACCAAAGGCCACTGAGCTCTCCCCGCGACCTGAGAACGAGGAAATTCGACCAAAAGGACGGGCGAAGTGTAAGCGACATCAACAGACCCGAAACACAGAGGAGAAACTGGCGTGACAATGACATCAAGAGCACAAGACAGCAACAACACCAGACTCAGGAGAAGACTAGACATCCGTCACCAGAAACATGGAGGAAACCGGTTGCCGAGAAGCCTCAGTCACCAGACGGAACAGGGCTTCGTCACGGGAAAGCAGCTTCTCCTCTTGAGCTAGCTCAAGCCTACTCTGACTCTAAATCCGGAACTGGAAGCAGCAACTTTAACATGAGCCGCAACAACAACCAGACGCAGCAACCGTTCTCGAGGTTGGTAGGATCGACGACGACAACGACTCCAAGACATATCAATGGCTACTGAGTCATATTTGTTCGTTTGTTCTTTCTTCGAATTGGTTTTAGTTCCCGACTAATTGGATCTTTAAGTTCCGCGAACACATCTCATGAGGCTTGTGGGTGATTTCAATGTGATATGTTCCCCTTATGATAAGCCAAATATGTTTACATTGTCTTCATTCTTCTTTGGTTATACATTTTTTATCTAACCGTTGGTTGAAATATTTGAAGAAAGTTGCATAGATCATCTAATAGCAGATAAATAAAAAGGTCTGCATGTATCTTAAAAAGCTTCTTTACCATAAACAAAGACAAACGACAACAGAAATGAAAAAAACCAAAACCAAAACCAAACAATCCCAATAAAAACCAAAACCAAAACCAAACAATCCCAATAAGACTACTACTTGAGAGTACTTAGAGAGACTGAACAAACAAAACCAAAACCAAACAAGTTACAGATAAATAGATGAGGACCCCAACGGATCGTTCATTATATAAGAAAAACACTGTCGACATGATCCAAGAATGTTTCAACATGAGGAAGATGACCTACATCTTGTCCCACAGCTATAAACCTCCTTAGATTCTGTGTGACTCTGTTGTAATACAAGATGAAGTCTGAGCTGTCACGGTGAACGTGCGCCGTGAAAACGAGCTCTCCTGAACCAACCGTACCTCTGAAAGAAAAGTATACATCCCCAACAATCTCTCTCCACCGAGGAATCTCAACAAAGTCTCTCCTCCATTCTCCTGAGACTCCATTCCTAACCCACATTCTCACTACTCCATTTACGTAATTGTCATGCACTAGAGCCACTTCCCCGTTATAGTTCACCAATTTCCAAACATAACAAATATTACCAAGCTTGACTTCCTCAGGTAAATCAATCACACTAAACTTCTCAGAGCTTACATTGAAGCTCATCACAAGAGATTTCTTCCCTCGACCGGACGTAGCTCCATAGTACAAAACTCCTCCTTTGCATAGTCCATCAGTAAGTGGATAATGGCGATGCTTACATCTGACCCGTCTCCAAGATCCTCCCACCGTCAAAACTTGAAACTCCTTAGCTCTTGATGGTCTATCATAGACATAGATTGCCATATATAACACCTTGTGTACATCCGTAGCTTCATCGTATCCGAGAAAACTTGTTATCGTCGCAAGCTCACGTGGGTGCTGGATCTCCGGTAACGTCAGATGCTTGTTTATAGACGGATTCCATAACGCAAACTTAAATCCGTTTCGAAGACAGATCAAACCTCGGATGGATTGGGACATGCTAGTATACTCTAGAGGAACATGCATACGTCGTTTATCGGAGGATAAGAATGGTTCCTCTGCTTGGTGAACAGAGTGAACGTACGCATCTGTTTCACTTATCTTGATCGTGAACATCATGCGAGGTCTTGTCATCGATCGGAGCAAGTAGAGATCTCTGAATTGTTTCTCTCGGATCATCGATGCCCACTTCTTTGAGACGCAGACACATCTCCCTAGAGGTTTCGGAGGCAAATGAAGAAGAATCTTCATTTGTATATCTGAATGAAGTGCTTCCATTCCTTTAGAACTAGACCTACAAATTTTTTTCTCCATTTTTTATTTGATCTTCCTAGCAAGATTATGTATTCCCACAATATCACTTGTGTGAAATTTATAGAAGATCTCAGAGATGATCAGTCAAAATTCAGAAGTGCTGTGTTTTGGTAAGAGTTTTAACTAAGAGACTTCAATTCCACACCTTAAAACCTTAAATCTTACAAAACTGTTGGCGAAAATTTATATCAGGTCAACATTGTGAATGTACAAGTTTTCTTTGGTTCGTACAAGTTTTTAAATAATAATTGGATTTGACCAGAAAAAAAAAAGATGAATTATTCAAAAAAATTAGTTTCACATGTTATTAATACTTACAAAACTGTTGACCGGAATTACCATACAAATCAATGTAGTACAAGTATTCTTTTGTTGTACGCGTTTTTAATTAATTTGTGGGATTGACCAAAAGAAACTCTTGTAAAAAAACTAAATTATTTTAGTTATTTTTTCATTTTAAGTTAAATTTAATACTAAAATTCACATCTTTTTGTTTTGGTGAAAAATTAATATTAATTTATAAATATGTAAAACATATGAATGTACAAGTTCATAGTACACATTTTTAATTAGTTTGACCATCCGGAAAAAATCTTGGAATATAACTCTAAGAAAACTAATGAGTTTCAATAATTAATTAAAGATAATATGCGACGACGAAAGAAAACTTGAACATTCACGATGCTTGATATAAAATTTATATGCAAGTTTTTCAACAGTTTTGTAAATTTTAATTTGTGGATTTAAAGTCTATTTTTTTTTATATAGATGTAAATATTAATTCTTTTACCAAAACAAAAAGATGTGAATATAAAAAATAAATTTTAATTGAAACAAAAAAAAAAAACGAAAATTGTTGGACATTTTAATCAGTAATTTCGTCGCACATATCAATTTAAGTGATAAAGATAGGAACACTTTTAACTTTGTAAGAAGAGAGGTTCACTTTTTCGTACATCAATCCTTGATAAAATTGTTGGCCAGTTAGAGATTTGCTTTAACCAAACTTAAGTGATATGAAGGATTATCACACATGTTCTGCTCAATGCAAAGAGTTGCGAGACTCACAGAACGACGTCGTTTCTTTAAACCGGCTTGGTCTAACATTCAACTTAGGGTCGATTCAAATAAAAATGCTTTTGAGCTATTCGATTTAAAGGATTGAACCAGAGGACCAATTAACCAAATTCTAAGTTTTGACATTAAAATATCATTCGCGTACTTGAAAACCCATAGGATTCAGATCGATTTTAAGGTTGTACACAAACACAAAGTGTTTATACATAACAAGCCTCTGACGAGGAAACACTCTTTCAGCAGATTTGCATCCTCTTTTAACTGTTGTCCGATTTCTCCATAGCTGCAAAGTAAAAGAATTTGGGTTTACATTAGATAAACATTAACTCAAAGAGACAAAAAACTGAAAGAAACACATGACATAGGAGGTTTGAGAGCCTACTGTTGTAGTTGAGAAGCTTCTCAATCAGATCAACATGAGTCATAAGCATACGCCTGCAGCAGTATCTTACTAGCTGAAGCGCATCAAGTGCGTCCCTGCAACAACAAAACACCAAACTGTTAACGCTTTACTCATTGATGAAGAAGCTTAACCACGAAAAATGCAAAAAATAGCACGGTTTGTATATATCTAAGCACCAATGGTTACGAGTCTTCAATCATACTTACCAAAATAGAGACATAATCTACAGAGTAAACAAGATAGGCACAATAGTCTCTTCAAATACATATATCATAAACAGCAGATCATTAACTCAGTCCCATACTATCTCTTACAACATAAACCACAAACAGAGTGGCTAGTCCAAGAAGAATCATGTAGATGGGGACAAGTATAATCAAAAGCCAATAAGTTCTACTTTCTACAAACTTTTACTGGATGACTAAACTAGGCAGGACACAGTTTCTTCCAATGACACAAAAAAAACTCAAACAGAAGATCGAAAGAAGCTAAATTTCTACACTTTGTTCGCTTTTATTATGCTCCCCAGTCCCCAGTACAAATTCTGGAATAGATTTCTCTCAAAATTCAAGTACAGTGATTCGCTTTTCACACAAAGAATGATTAGACCAAGAAGAATTAATGAAGTTTGTTTACCCTTCAGTGTAGTCTAGCTGGAGAAGATCAAGATACGCATCCCACTTGTTTCCAATCACCTACAAAATTCACAGAGTGAAAGCTTAGTAAAGCTCAAAACTTTGTCTCTTTCATATAATCGAACCCGAACGTATGCAGCTAATTACACATTCAAGTCGGATAAGAGAGAGAACATAGTGTCAACTTTAGAGTAATTAAAACCGTAGAAAGACGGAGAAATCCCTAAATAAGATTTGAATTGCCCAAATTAGCAAATTCAAGGAGAAAAAACAACCTTTCCACAAGTAAAGCAACGAACAGGGATGATCATCTTGAGCAAAGAGCTGAAACCTGAACTTGGTCTTGGTCTCGGTCTGTATCTCTTTCTCGCTTCGGATTCTAGGGTTTTCTGTTTCGCGCTTCGATTAAAAAATAGGTGAAGAAAAGGACTTTAACAAGGAGCTTCTGGGTTTGTCTGAGAGGCGTCTCTAAACGGCGTCGTATTTAGTGAAATCAGATAAATTGATTCGAGGTTTCCTTTTCTGTGCGAGGCTTCCCCAAACGGTGCCGTATCAAGTGATATATGATCTTCACTCGCCTTCCGGTTCTAATGTTGTGTCCGGTTTAATTATTTTCTGTTGAATCAATTCGGTTTTTGAAGCTGGTAAGATGATTTCTGTTATAAATTGAAAGGATTTAACTTCATATAAGTTGTTTCTTTGTCTGTGTATTCTTCCATTTGTTCAAAAACTACCAAGGCAAATAAAAAATTAACATGAGACTGATATATCAGTTACCGAACAAGTCTTCTACATAAGATTCTAGTATAAACACATTGAATCTCTCAAGTCCTAAGGTAAATAAGACTGGCATCTCAAGTCTGCTGCAAAAGATTACTAGTTATACTCTTATAAAACTTAAAACACACCAAAAGCTAGCTTCTTGGGTGTAGGTTAAAGAAAAACAAAGATAATTAGGAGTTAGGATGCAGCTTGGGTTAAGGACGATGATGATGCCAGCATATGTTACTTATGTAGGATTGGATATGTTTCAACTCTCCCTTGGTATATTCCCAAACAAGAGAATGAGTGCTTCTAGAAGGCTCTTCCTCTCTTCCCTCTCCACATTTCTCCCATCTTCACTCTTCATCCCTGCTTCTGCCAATACTAGATCTTCATCTTGTTCTTCTTCCTCAAACTCATCCTCCATTTCAGCTACGTATAGGTACCTGCTTATTTCGAACCAGTTTATTACATTAGACAAATGTGCAAACGGCAGCATATTCATTACTAAGAACCTCACACCTTAAACAGTAAGGATTATTAAACACACAAGAACTTAACGTGGAACATCAAACAGGCCACAGAAGCACTCCATTGACCATTGGTATGATAAAGGGTGGGAGAGATTAATATAATTTACCTGGTTGGCTTTTCGGTTGGAGGCCAAAAGCAGCAGATGACTACCAATAGTGCATAGGCAAGCACATACCAAAATGCTGGGATCATCCACTTCACTTGCCAAAGCTCACTCAGGGAGTCATTGATATATACCTGTTTCAAGAAAAACATGTATCAGTCACACCCATCCTATGACTTGCCATTATCAAGTGATTCCCAGAGTTATTATCAGACTAGCGAGCTGTTACCTCCACATAAACCCAGGCAATGTTAAGCACCACCATGGTTACTAGTACAACTGCAAAGTTCTTGTAGAGCTGCAACTTAGCAATGTTCCTCTTGTTCACCTACAAATGCACAGATGGGATTAGCAGGGATGAAAAGCTTAGAACTGCATCTTCATATATGGCTCAATTGCAACTTTCAACAGTTACCAGGAGAGCTACTTATAGAGTTATAGTTAATATGTTACAGTACTGTAGGTTCATTACCTTAAGCTTCTTAAGCGTATTCCACAAGGACCTGAAAATCCACTGGAGAAAGCATGTTTCCATTATAGCCCAAGACAGCATCAACAAAGTCATCCCATCTTCAGTGAGACTCCCAAAATGCTGCGCCGATCCCAGAGATAGACTAATCACATAGCACATGCCGCCAAGAAGAAGCATCCTCGGTGTAAAGCCGGATATTTCAGGCTTCACAAGTCCATATCCTGAAGTTAAAGCCAACAGTAGAAGCCGAGACAACGCCTTCCTCGCAGAAGAAAAACTCACAGCCCATAACGTTGCCTTCACAGGACTTGTACCAACCGAGTCGAGATAGGCAAAACCAGAGTACATGAAGGCCAACTCATACATGGAAAATGCAATAACCAAGCTAACATGACTATGCAGCTGGATTCCATCCTTCCAGTACCTAACAAATCGTGGAAACCAAACTACGCCAAGCAACATATAAGCTACGAACATGAATCCATAGAACTTCATTAGAGGAGCTGTCTCTCCTGGTAAATACCCATCTAGGTTCTTCCAAACTGTTCTTCCCCTGACAACAGTGCCATCCAAATCTTCATCGCAGGTCGTGAAGTACACAATGTACCGTCCAGTTTTGTTAATGATCACAGCTTCCGGAGACATCTTCACTTCTTCCTTCTGCTCTGCAAAGAAAGTCTTGATCCGTTTAGGCCAGTGAGGCTCAGTGGGGTCTCTCTGAATGATAACCTCTCCGAGATTGCAGGAACCAGCATCAGCAAGCTCTTGAGTACAGCAGATAGCATCACTTTTGAGAAAAGACCCACCGATTCTTTCCCGGTCCTTTACCTCAAACACTAGAGTTTCAACCAATCCTGCATTTTCCAGCTTCGATTTCTGTTTGAAAGCAGCTTCCTTTGTCCTCACAAAGGTTATGTCATCAAACCTGAACAACATTATCATGAAAAATACGAAATGCTGAGCAGAAATAGGAAAAAATCACATAGGAAAGCAGAGATAATCATGTGGATATGCACATAGTAATAGCCCTAATTAATGATCACTAGTCCAAAGCCCCGTGAAACCCTAAATGAAAAATTGATTCACTAAACAAACCCCAAATTCAAACAAAAACAAAAAAAGGAGAGAAATTTACCGGATAACGGACTTCCCCATGGAATGTGTAGCAGAAGAAGCAGCAGAAGCATCGGCGTCTTGAAACTTGGAAGCGTAAAGAGCTTCGATATCACCGGGAACATAGAAACCGTTGGAGATTTTGGTGAACCGTTGTTGTCGTACTCGTGAATCTCGGCGTCCGTAGGGTTAATCAAACTTCCGACTAGCAAGAGCACGATCGCACCGAAACCCAGCGGCAGATTCGCCATATCGTTAACGTTAAGCACAGTAAGCAACCCAGTGAGAGAGAGTGATCGACTCGTGTCGCGGCTCAGTGTGAAAGCAAGCAAACATTGAACTCTATCCACAAAGTTGACACGTGTGTAAGGGTACTATGGACCATTTTCACTTTGATGTTATCTTTTTTTTTTGTATGAATAATTTTGCTTTTATGCTTGTTCATTTCACTCCGCATTTTTAATGATGTCCCTCTTTTCTACATATTCTCTTTTTGGAAAAGATGAGGCTCTTTTTAGTGGATTGATTATAAGTTTTTAATGATGCTTAAAATCGATTAGTTTGTGAATCTGATTGTTCTCTCTTTCCAACTTTTTCGAAATCATTCTGTATTTTACTTTTGAGTTGACTGGGAAATTAATGGGGATGGCTACTAATCTATGATTAACCAAAAGTATATATACGCTGAGTAACCTTAACGAGTTATCAATATCAATAAATCTGCAAAAGGGAAGTATTATTGATTCTACAAACTGCTTGCATTGCACCTCTGGAAATTGAATCAGAATATTTGACAGGTCTTTCTCACCGAGACTGTAAATGTTGATGTGGACATTCCATATGTTGTAATAAAGTAACTAAATGTGTGGAAAATGAATGACCTATGGACGAACCACATGATCCATATATAACGTATCATCGAAGATCATGCTAATCTAACTACAAACCAATGGAACATCACTAGTACATACGTTGCATCTTCTTCATAACGTATCATCGAAGATCATGCTAATCTAACTACAAACCAATGGAACATCACTAGTACATACGTTGCATCTTCTTCTTTTCCCTAAACAGCTCCATTTAACTTTTTTTGGTACGTTTAACTTTTTAAACATTCTTTCCTATCTGTAAACATGCTATATGTTTTTTCTATGATATGGGCACATCTTGAAAAACTATAAAATTCTAATTGTATAAAGTAATACAAGTAGAAAGAGAGAAAGCGAGAAGTATTTGATATCCATCGATGTCTTCCAAGAAATATTTTAATAACGTTTATTGATCAACTTGAATGTTTTATTAACTAAGAACGTCGGAGTTGGTCCAACCAACAATGAAAGACCATAATGAATCAGCTTCATCAATTATTAACAAGAAAAAGTTGTTGCTCTTTAGTCTTACCTCACTTTGACACATCACGATGACAACTCCGGTTAGTACCTTTGGTAGCCATAGGAGGAGATCTCAAACTGGCTTCTTTGGACACGATTATCATAACCGTAAGGATACGAATCCCCGAAAATGTAATCGGAAGTCGACTTCCACGGATCAGCATCATTACTTTCCCAGCAAGAAACACCAGCCGCACGATCCTTCTCATCTTCCTGGCGTCTCTTGTTACGTAACACACAAGGAAAGTAACCTCCGAATATCACCTCGCACAGGTCCGTCGCTTCTAAGCCGTAACCAGACGGAACATACAGAGCTTTCACTGCTTCCTTATCTACTACATTATCAGATTTAACTGGTTCATAGCTTGAACTATGATCCTCTTCTTCTTCCTCTTCCTCTTCATCATCTTCTTCTTCTTCATCCTCTGATTCATCTTCATGATCATCTACTTCTTTAACGGGTTCCAATGGTTTGGCCTCCGTTAACGGTTCAGAGAAAGTTACACGTTTCTTGACAGCTTTCTTTTCACCACCATCATAAATGCCAAGAGGAACAGGAGTGATAATCTCCGGAGGAGTAGGAGGTTTCCCCAGAGCAGCGGTTGAAGAAGGGTAACAGATTTCCACCGACTGAGGAAGAGGTTTTCCGTAGGTTGCAACGATGTCAAATCCACCGCTGTACGGCGTCGGATCGTATTCGTCGAATCTCGGCTCGTTGAATTCTTGAACAGAGTAATAGATGTTAAACTGAGGAGGAGATTCGTAGGTCGTGTACAGATTCGGATCGTAGAACAAGTGTTTTGGCTCGGACATGGTTGAAACAGAGTATGCAACAGATGATGCAGAAGCTGTCTCATACTCAGATCCATTCCAATTGTTATAACTCACAGATGATGCAGAGGCTGTCTCATACTCAGATCCATTCCAGTTGTTAAAACAATTATAACTCTCAGATGATGCAGAGGCTGTCTCATACTCAGATCCATTCCAATTGTTGTAACAATTATAACTCACTGGATCGGAATAATATTGCTGCTGCTGATTGTTATCGTAATAGTAAGTATGATCATAGAGATTATTAACCTGATTGTTGTAATCGTATGGGATCTGGTAATGCTCATAGAAATTCGCCATGAACAATGATCTTGATTGAAGTCTCTCTTAAATGTTGAAAAGATTGGGTGGAGCAGTGATTATAAAGTGAAACTGAAATGTTTGGTTTTTGAAGTCTGATTTTGATTGAAGACTTTCTATCTGCTGTTCAAAAATTGGGTGGAGCAGTGATTAAAGCGAATTGAAATGTTTGGTTTTAAGTCCGTGTAGTGTGTATTATTCCATGTGAGGTGTTGATAAGGTGGGGACGAGTGATGTAGATGGTGACGAGTGTGTCGCGGACCCTACCAATAAAGTTTACAGACGCAAGTTCTTGTTTTGTCTGAAAAATGGTATCAAGAAAACGTGGGGAAAACCAGTAGTAGACAAACAGATTAAACCAAACCGGAAAATTCTGATTTGGATACCTTGATCATTAACCGGAAGATTATTTCATTCCTTGCTTTGCTTGACGTGTAGGAGAAGCAAGCGATCAGTGTCTAGAACGAGAGTAGTGGTTGTCATTAGGGTTCCTTTTCTGACTGAAAACCGCCATAGCTTCTCTCACAGATGAAGCCTTTCTATCACTATGATGGTTCATGAACACATCCTCTGCTTCAAAAAACTCATCTCCCTGAAAAACAACACTATAATCAAAATCCGAAACTACCTTGAAGTGTTCTTGCAATCACAAAGGCTATAGATTTTGAGTTTGTAAATTGTATTGTACTAACCGGTTTGCTTGCTTTCTTCTTGGTCTTGGGATGCAGAAACCTTTGAGGGAGTTGATCTTCACGTAGAACCGGATTCTTGTTGATTGCGTCTCTTCCTCCTTTAGGCGTTGGTAGCGAAAACTGCACAACGAAACAAGAAGAGATGTGATTCGGTTTAGCTTCTGCTTATTAATAAACAAGAGAAGATTCTTCACTAGTAAATGGAACTTTCAGTGTGCAACTGAAATCTGTGAACCTCCACTGCATATATGAGTGTGTTTCGGTTAGCTTTGCAGCTTATAACAAGTACTTACTTTGTCCCCTCTAAATGTATTACGCCATTTAGGCGCAGCTACGGTGGTGCCATTCTCGTCTACTGTAACCTCTACCTTGCGTAGTGTGCCAAGATTCCCGCACTTGGGACAGAACATTTTTCGAATGTCAGGACCATCGCATTTTAAAATTCTAGGAGTTGCTATTGTGTAGCAACCATGGCATCGCAAGATATACCTGAAGATGCAAATGCAATAAAGTGCAAGATTTGTATCTATCTTTCTTAGCTCATGAGTAGAGCAATGCTAAATAAAGATGTGATTCAGCAAAGTGTGTACCTTTTAAGTTGGCGAATTTGCTTTCCTTCGGGTGCAAGCAAACGCAAACCCATTAGAAGAATAACATTCTGCATTGCATAGTCACCGGTCATACAAGCTACACTGGACTCAGACAAGGCTACCAACGACAAACTCTGCTCACTGCTACCATCATCTGCAACCGATGGTGCCGTACAGGTATCACTGGCGACCTCATCCTCACTTGCACAGCTTCCATTCACTATCAAGTTTCCATCTTTGTCATCAGCTTCTTGATCTTGCTTAAGTTCTTGTTCTGTCAAGGCATTGCAATGTTCCCGCCTCGCCTTTCTTCTAAGAAACTTTCTGCGAGTGCTACTACTAACTGCCGGAGTCCAGTCACCAGAATCATCATCATCAAATTGCCCCTGCGATGCGTCTACTCCCTCCACTACCATCTTACCCTCATGATTCCTCTCAGACACAACAGAAGAACCCTCAAAACACTTGTCTGAAGGGATGATATTCATGTCAAGGTCTTTCAACGGAAGGATTTTGGAGTTGGAGTTGGATTTTTCGTCGGTCTCTTCTTCTAGTGCCTCCCACTCCTTAGAGTTAGCGTCATTGGAGCCCCAACCAGGTAATTTCTTCTCAGGTAATCTCTTTACCCTAACAGTTTTAATCGGTGGAGGAACATCTCTGATGTTTTTGGTCCCATTAACCTCAACCTCGAGCTCGTATGTCAAGGCAATCAGCTTAATATCCTCACGAGACAGAGTTGACAAATCACCAGTTGCTAGTGCAAATTTAGTAACTGCACAGAGATTCAAGAAATAACATTGTATAAAGTCATTCCTAGAAATTTCACAAAAAACAATCTCAAACATGTATTTATGTACCTTTACTGAAAGATTTAGAAGAAGGTTCTCTGGTCTTCAATGGAATTAAGGCGAGACGACTGCGAGAAACATGGTCACTAATCTCGGAGTAGACTACAGGGACGGTTACGAATGTATCGGCGAATTTGGTTAAGGTCTGGTCTCCTTTAATGAAGGCGCTGGCATCAACAACCGCCGTAGATATTCCTTTTGTGGATTTGCAGTTTCCGACCATCGCAGGAATTGCTTCCGGAGCTCCGTCGCTAGGTGAAGGCTTTGGGGGAGGATCTTTCTTCACTATGTCACTCCACATCGAGCTTGGATTCGAAGCCATTTTCGCTTTGGGATTTTGTGGTTTTGCCGTGAGAGAGAAGAGAAAGAGCGAGAATAACCCTAGGATCAAAAGGCTTTTTGTCACTTATTAAGCCCAAAATGATGGGTCTTTTCACAAATCAAACCATTGTTTTTTAGTACAATTGTGACAAAATTGATGTGATCGTCCTACTCCTAGGTAAAGCATGGTTATAAATCATTTATACTAACAAAAATGTGAATCAAAAGCAATATATTAATAGTTTTTTCCGAAAATCAAAAGCGTGTTTGCTTAAAACTAGTTCAAGATCCACTCTACATAACCATAAAGATTGTTCCAAGGAATGACGATGATAAACATCATTGGATAATAGAAGACGATTTTACATCCGACTTTCATAAGCTAAGGACTAACCGATGGATCAAAACCTCATACACTAGCCACCCTCTGTCGTATCATCGATCAAGAGGAATCAGAAGCGGCTGGTTCTTGTCTTGGTCTCCTCTGCTGCTCAGGTGGTGGACCGTCTCTCTTTCTTTCGTACCTCTTACTTTGATACTTGGAGTTATTGCGCTGCTTCGGCTGGTATGTTGGGTATGTGCACGGGACTATCTCTCCATTGATGTACTTGTCCCCTAAACCAATAAAAAAAACCCATACAATTATCACAACTGGGATACATGAGAGACATTGTAATCACTAATAAGGCTTTAACTGAGGTTACCTCCATAGTCCTTGTTCTTGACATCTATGTAGGAGTCAGGCAAAACCCAGAGAACTCCAGGCAAACCTGTGAAAATATTGACATGACTAGCGGTTAGTTTTCAATGATTACAAGCAGCTATAGGAAGAAAGCTTTTATTCATCACTAACTCACCCTTGAACTTCTCAGATGTTTCTTCGTCAATGGTGCATTGGAATCCAGTATATGTGGTGGTACTGAATGCATACATGTTTTTCTTTGCCTCTTCCATGCTGCAAAACAGATACACATACACTCAATAAGCACACACAAGAAACTGATTACGCTGGATTTATAAAAGCAGCACAACAGTGTAGACTAGTTAGGACTCAACTTCTCTAAAAAACCAGCCAGCAAGAGCAACAAATAAACCCCAGTTTGAGTCATTTATTGCACAACACATCATACCCCCATCTTATCCAAGAAAATTTACTCAAAGAGTCCCAATCTAATGCTATCTACTAGTGTGCACCACAAACACATTTTCCATACATTACTTGCTTTAACAAAGAGAAACAATGGACAACATCTGCAATTTACACATAGTTTGAAGAAAAATATGAAAAAAAACATACTCCAAGAACATGTTTCTGTTCTTCCCCTTACTTTTTGGTTAATAACTACGCTATAACGAGTGCCAGTCTTGATGCTCCAAGAACAGCAAGTACACATATGAACACAGTGCTTTAGCTATCAAATCCAAACATCATCATTTTGCTTTTCATATGCGTAACCGGAATATCTCAATAATCGTCTACTACTCTACTTTGTAACTTGAAGATTGCAGACTCGATTGGAGTTCCTCTTCTCCATATCGAGTTGGAGTTCAAGAAACTCAAAACATCATTTTCAAGTCAAGTTTCAATACACCAATTTATTTTGCCTAAAACTTGCTCACAAGCGTATATCAGGTGTTCAATATGTTTAGCATATCTCAAGAGATTAAGTCAGACTAAGAGTTACACTGATACAAATTCATAAACTTCAACCTAATAAATCAAAATGAACCTAGCGAAAAGCCCGAACTCGTGAATCCCAAATTTTCCTAACCGCGACTTTGTTTCAATCGAAGAATCATGATAAGTCCATTAACAGCACAGATATCTCGATATTAATCAACAAAGGAGAGAAATATTGGGAAGAGGAAACGAACCTTCCAAGAACAGTAGCAAGAGTGTTAAGGTAAGTATCAATCATCTGCTCCCTCGTTGGCGCTGGATCCTTGGGGAACTCCATAACAATAAGCCAGTGATTGTAGTCGCACCCCGGGAGCATAATCGTCTCCCTCTGCTCGTTGCTACTGCTCCGTTTAGACGAGTAATCGGAATCGACCGTCGCAGCCTTGACAATCGCCACCCGTCGCCGAGAGCCGGCGGCGGAGATACTCCGGAGCTGAGGATTCCATGTGCCGAGAAGGCGGATGCCGGAGATTGTAGGGAAGCGTGCCAGGTGGCTTACGGGAAGCAGGGTTTTGGGGAGAAGCGAGGAAGAAGAAGAAGAAGATGTTGTGAAGGAAGCCATTGCAAATTGCAGAAAGCGAGAGACTGGTTTCACTTCACACTCTCGCGACTTGATTTAGAGGGGATAAGATATTGGAGACCTAAACGACATCGTAATAACAATTCATAGGCTCATAGTTTTGGGCCGAAGTTAAAGTCAGCCCAGAAGAGCGAAACCTTGTTTTCTTTTCATAAGTAAGTGAAATGTTGATTTTACATTTTATTACTTTGGGATCTTGATTGATTTCTTACTACAATTTTACATTTTACGCAGGTCCTCACATGAACGTGCCGTGCTGTATAAACACGGTAAAGAACAAACGAATACATTTTTTGTGGGATGAAAAAGTTTAAGAACAAAGGGAACTGATGATCGAGAGCGACAATCATAGCAACGTGGTAAGAAACTAGGACTGGTTTGCATCACTTCAAATCTCACTCGACCGGCGTAATTATTGATTACGCATCCAGGCATGAGAAGTGAAAAATCGCCGAGAACACAGTTAGTATGGAAAGCAACACAACAAGTGTCACATCTGTAGAACCAATATTTTTCTATAGTTTTCTCGCATACATCACACCAACATTTTCCACTCTTATCATTTCCATAGCATAAAGAGAGTAGATGTTCGTCGTACCAACGCTTGGTTGTTTTCGGCAAAACTAGACATTTGAAATCTAGCGCAAAGTCACAGTCAACGCAAGCAAATGATGAATAATTCCAGCTGCCGCAACCAACACATGTCTCTTCGCTCTTGTGAATGAAGTACAAGGGGCACGGATGACTTTCATGGAAAATAACTCCAGAAAGGGAACCACATTTTACATCTAAACTGTAATGTTTATTTTTATACCTGAAACCAGTGGAGTAGTTAGAACACGCCGAGCAAAAGAAATGCCTCATGCCACCAGGTATTAGAGTGAACTGTTGGCTATGAAACACATGACGTTTCTTCCTAGGAAGATTAGCGCAAGTTTCATGGAGAATGAAATCGCATTGCACACACTTGTAGAATGCCTCGTGAGAACAAATAGGGAAGACACACGCTGCACAACGAATGCTTCCACCACAAGAAATGATATTTCCTTCATTGAGACCGAGATAATGTTCCTCGTGACTAAAATGACAAATGAGGTTTCCATGCATGGACTTATACGGTTGGATCTCTTGTGTTTCTTCGGGTATCTCCTTGAGTTCTAAAAAGTCCCAAACATCATCTCTTACCGCACATCTGGAATGAATGGCATAATTAGGACAAATCGAGCAAGAATAAGCCCCATATGACCAATCAATATTTTTGTAGCAAACTCCGCATTCCCAACTCCCAGGACTAAGATGAGAACGCCTAGAGAGACGATGCTCGTGACGATTCACGTTGATGATTTCCGGCAAGTCGATGCAGCTTTGATGGACCATGAAATAGCATTCTTGGCAAGAATAAGGACTTCTATCGCCCTTCATTCCACAAGCGTCACAATTAAAAGAGATGATCCTTGGCATAAGACTAAGTTGATGTTCATGAGCTTTGGCAAATAAGATTGTAAGCGGTGGTGGATCCCTTACACAACCAGCATCCATACTAAATTTACATATTGAACAATGATAAAATCTCCTCCCTAACTTTTTTTCACATAGACAACATTTCCCATCAGAGAAATGATGTTCTTCGCTTGTAAGGTACTGAACAGGGTGCTTAGGGTGACATGGATGAGTTATCTCTTGAGGAAGGTGAGCACATTCCTCGTGGAATTCCAATTGGCATTGAGAACATTGGTAAAGAAGCCTAGTAAAACATATATATTCACAAATGTAACATGTGCCATTGTAATAGCCTTTCAGGAGGAAAAGAGAGTGTTCATGGGCTTTGGGATATTCAATAGCATCTGGCGGTGGATTTTTGGCACAAGCCGTATCGACAACGAATTCACATAAAAGACAATGGTAAAACATAAGATACAATGTTTGTCCACACAACTTACAGTATCTAGGCTGGGATTGTTTCTCCACGATGGAGAAGTGGAGAGGGTGATGAGGATGAGAGGGGTGGTTGATCACTAAAGATAGCTCTGCACATTCTTTGTGGAAAAACATGTTACACTCATAGCACCGATAACCGTCTTTGGTGTAGCCACCATCTCGTTTGCAACCATGGCAAGTGCGAACCCATGGCACAGGGTATAAAGGGTGTTCGTGACTAGGTAGTTTTATTCTAATCATGGTGGCGAATGTATGTAATAATATCAAGCACGTTGATCCATGTATTTATACTAATAGTCTGAACCTTATGAAAGGAACAGATGCTAAACTTACAAATATTTTTTTTATCATAAGCAAATAACAAGAAAGGAACAGATGCTAAACTTACGAATATTTTTCTCCTCTAACAAAAGCAATCCTCTACTTTGCTGATGGAAATATACACATTCTCGATCGATTGAATATATGTTTATAATTCGACAAGCTTTTTTTATATATACAAAAATGTGAAATTACAGTTAAGCGTATATTAGTGGGTGACAAAAATTAATATTGTCGTGATTACTTAATCTGTAAACCATTATTTATGCTGGTCAGTCATCTAGAGGAAAATCCAAAAATTAAGCGCCATGCATTAACTCATGATCATTTTTTTTGGCGTGGTATATATTTTTGTTTCCCTTCTCACTCCCTTACTTTGCTTTCCTTTTTTGAAAAGGCCTGTTAACTTTATGAAATAACATCGAACACCCTTTTCTTGTTATACGTACGGTACAAGCATGGGAAGCTAAATTAATGTGTTGTGATTTATAATTTAGATGAATCTGTCGTGACAGATAATGTTGTTTTGTGGTGTCGATTAATTATTAAAAAACTGACAAGGATAAGTTGAAGATTTAAAATTAAAAGTGCACAGTGTTGATTTTATTTAACGTAAAAGGAAAAAGTTGTGTTGTCAGATCCCAAGTAAATGAGCTTGTTTTAACATCTGGCACTTTGGTAGTCATGACTCATGATACGGCGTCGTCTTAAGGAAAAATCACAAAACCGACGTCGTTAGGAGGTCAATATAAAGCGACAGAGAGCTTTTGGCAAGGGTTTCTATAATCGAGAACTTTCTGTGAGTCACTCTACCGGAAGGCGATTTGCGACTGTTGTTGTCTCTCCATTCTCCGGTAAATTTCTCGACTTGCTGATTTTATAAGTCGGAATCGTTAGCTTGCTTCAGGTTTTCTACGGATTTTGCTTCTGACTGGCATTTCCTTTGCGATTAGTGAACAAAAAGATGAACTTTTTAGCTACATTTTAGGGCTTTACTTTTTTTGTCTGATAAATGTTGTCGAGTCCTTCTTTGAGCTGGTTATCATTTGTTAGAAGAAGCTACAACGTTGTTCTCTGTCTTCTCGCTCGACGATTTTTCTCTGCATTTCACGACGTTTATGTTTACGCCGAAACTTGAGCTAGTGAGGTCTTGCTTTGTTTTCTTTCTTTGCTCGGAGTTTGATTTATATGTCTTCTTCTGCTTGATTCTGATGTACTTCTGACCTAATTAGGAAGCAACACTCTAGATCTAGATACTCACTCTCTTGCTTTTCTGTTCTTTGTGTAATGCCTCTTAAGGAAAAATGTGTTTCTGAAAAAAATGGTTCCTTTTGATTCGCTTTACACTCAGAATGTGTTATGATACAATTTTTGACTGCAAATTTCATAGTTGTGCAGGGATAAGTGATTGAAGATGGCTTTTCATGGACCAAACTCAGAGTGTCACATAAATTGCCTACGAGTAATGAATGCGCAGGAAGATTACGGTAACTTATCACTCTAGAATCTCTAAATTACTTTCTTTGCGTCATTAGAAGAAGAAATAAAAACTGTGATTTGGTTTGGTTTGGTTTGACTATACACGTGCATTGGGGTTTGAATTTTGTCTTGCAGATGCATCTCAAAGAGCAGCGATGTTAGCGGTTGATCTAATCAGCTCTGCTCGGGTGATCTTCAAGGTGGACAAAAAGTACACTGAGTACTCAGCACAGTACTTGGTTGACAACGCTGGTCCCAAGAAGGAATCCGGGCAGGGAGAGTGGGAACGAGGACGCGCGGTCACGCTGGAAGACCTGGCTGAGTACCTGAAGGACATTGAAATTAATCAGGAGGTTGAGAGGGATCCAGAACGCCCCGTGCTAACTGTGAAGGACTGCCTCGAGTGTGCATTCAGAGACGGGTTGCCGAAAGCAGAACTTTGGGGACACTTGGGATGTGTCTCCAAGGTTCCTCCTTTCGCTTCTCTCATTCCTCGCGTCCCCATGAAAGGCAAAGTGCTTGAGGCTGAGAAATGGGAAGGAGGACGCGAGTTGTTGGGGAAGCAGCCGGTGGGAGCTAAGATGCACGTGTTCAGTCCGGAGATCGATCTCGTTGATGATGTAGAGTGGCTCTCTCTTTATTTTTTTTGAAATTTTCAGATAAAATGTTTTGGTATCTAATCTTGTCGAGTTGTTTGATTGTGTGGCAGGGAGAGGGAGTCTACGATGGCCCGGCAGGTCCTGGATCGACCTACGTTGGACTCAGGGATGTGATGGTCACTGGATATGGGAAAAAGGGAAAGAATGGAGAGAAGCTTGCGGAATTGAGGATCTGCTACAAGAAGGAGTCTAAGTTCATCAAAGTGTCTCTAGCTCGTGTTCTTACCTCGCTACCACGTGATGGAGAGGAGCCTCAGGTCATTGAGCCAACGGGTCTGCTCGTCGACTTCATTGCCCCACGCTTTACCAAGAAAAGAAGAGCTTAAGAGTTCTTGGTAAGTAACAATATGTTTGTTGTGGTTCTGTAATAAGAATGACTTAATTAGACTTTGTTTGTGTGTGTGTGTGCTAAGTATCATGAAACCGTATGCTAGTTGTGGAACCGTTTGTAGTCCCAAGTTAATGCTTATTCTAGGAAACTTTTATCTATGAGTAAAGAAGCTGATTAAGCTACTTTTATTTAAATTTAAAATCGTCTGTTATATTAAGATTTACCACCACTTGAGCATTCTAGCTTCCAGTTATCATCTTGAAGGAGAAAGATTCGAAATTAAGAGTGCATAATCATTATTCACCCATTTTGCCTCCAGACGTGAAAAGACAAACTAAACTCGTAGGATTCGTTTAAGAGAGAGCCCCAAAACCAAAATTCTGACTGGTCCGGTTTAAATTGCTCCAAATTTGATCGTTTCTTGGAGAGGAGGTTAAAGATGCATAGATACAGAGATTCCTTCTGCTGAGTGCTGATCCATAAACAAGTATGACTACAAATTGATGATACATTATATACTAGTTTTCGGTTTTCATAAAGAAGAGGAAAAACACTTGGAATCTTGTTAACGACCTTCAACATTGGTGAGAGTAACATCATTAAACGAACTACCGGTTTCTCCGCTGGGCCAATTACACGAGCTCCCGCCATTTGTGACGCTTCTCTTCCTTCCCACCGTAAACGCAGGATGCTTCGGAGATGGAAGATCAATGGCGTTATGTCCCAACATGAACACAACAGATGACATGTCTGGTCTGTCCGAAGCGCTTTCTTGCACACAAAGCAACCCAATGTGTACGCATTTCATCACTTCGCTCACGTCATAAGTCTCTGCGTCCATTAACGTGTCTACGATCCCTCTTGCTTCAGCTTTTTCCCATTGAGCCCAAATCTACAAGGCCAAGTAAACAAAACATTGTCTTGTACTCTCTTGTTCCTCTGTTTTTACTAGTAAAAAACTTGTGTGAAAATAACTGCAGGCTTTTTACTTACATGTCCGACTAGATTGGAAGATTCCTCGTAGATGGTACTGTTCTTATTTCCAGTTATGATCTCTAAGATCAATATTCCGAAGCTGTAGACGTCGGACTTTATGGAGAATTGCCCATCCATTGCATACTCCGGCGACATATATCCGCTGTGACAATGATATTAAAACACTTTTTTTTCTTTCTTTCAGAATGAACTAAAATAATTGGAGAGTATATTTGGAGATTGAGAAAGAATAAAAATAACTCACTATGTGCCAACAACTCTGTTGGTGCTTCCTTCGATTTGGTTGGCCCCAAAGATTCTCGCCAAGCCAAAATCCGCAATCTTAGGAGTCATATCATTGTCAAGAAGTACATTGCTGGCCTTGAGGTCTCTGTGGATGATCCTCAGTCTTGAATCTTGATGAAGATACAACATTCCTCGAGCGATCCCTCGGATTATCCCCATCCGTTTTGGCCAATCCAACTCAGCTCTATGCTCCTCTCCTAAAGAGAAAGAAAAAAAAGAAGAGAATTCAAATGCAAAGTCATTGATCTTCCCCGTTGAAACTGTGTTGGAAATGTTTGAACTTACGGAATATGAAATAGTCAAGGCTCGTGTTTGGTAAATACTCGTATATCAACATTTTCTCTTCCAGCTCAACGCAACATCCTAAGATCCTCACTAGATTCCGATGTTGCAGCTTTGATATCAACTTGACCTCGTTCTTGAACTCTTCCATTCCTTGGCCCGAGTTTGTCGACAACCGCTTCACCGCTATCTCCATTCCATTTGGTAACACGCCCTGAATGGATACATACTTACTGAACTTAAAGATAACTCTTTTGAGGAGGCTTATTGAAAATGGTTTTAGGCATACGTGAAGATGGTTTTTGCTTCTTCCTTACCTTATAAACCGGTCCGAAACCACCTGCTCCAAGCTTGTTCCGGAAAGAGAAGTTATTAGTTGCTGCAGCGATCGTGCTAAGCTCAAAGAGAGGCAGCTCTCGGTTTCTTGATTTATCCTCAAGATTATCTAATATGAACGAGTCTTCAAGATCAAAAGAGCTCGAGGCAAAGGTTGATAGAGGTTTCCTTTGCCTACTAGACTCTGCATTTGTACATATTGTCAATTTGTTAGGGTGTGATCTTACCAATCAACCATATATGCCGAAAAAGGCCATCATCAGAGAATATCTTACGTCGTCTTCTTCTAATGAAACAGAACAAAATGATCATTAGTAACATCACGACTACAATAAAACTGATGAGAATGAAAACAAGCTTCCTCTTCCCTGACGATCCATTTCCATTCCACCGCGCTGTAACAAGTAAACAAATCAAAATATAACTCTGTTGCAATGAAACAGAACAAGCTGCAGTGTATGTGTATATTATAAGTTATGTACCTAACTCTGACTTATCTACGCGTAGGTAGAAATCTTGCCCCGAGGTCAAGTATGTCCTTGTATCCAACATATCACCGTGCCATGTCAAGCACCCTTTTTCTCCGTCCTCGATCTCATGGTAAGCGCTCGCATAAGCAACACAAGAGCAGTTCCTCAAACACCTCTTCTCGCATTCTTTCAACGTTATGTTCATATCCACACTAACAGCTGACGTATTAGGAACTTTCACGCGCTTCAACTTCGCAAACCCTTCTTTCCCATTACATACCGAAGCTACATCTCTCCTTTTGCAACCACCAGAAGCATCCCTCAAGGACCAGTCCTGTGGCTTCTTCGGCTCGTAGCCAGGTAAGCAAGTGCACTCAAACTTGTCTGGACTCGTGGGATCGCAGTAACCGTTAAGACCACAGTGGTTGTAGTTGTCACACTTCTCTTCAGGAGCTGACCAGAACCCAATCCATTTCTTGTCCCTCCCGTTCCATGTGAACCGTTGCAAGATTCCAGTCTCGTTCAGCACCATTCTTGTTATGACTGAAGGACTCAACACACCGTAAATGATCGATACTTCATCAGGATTGTTCACAAACGAGACGTTGAAGATAAACTTGTTCGTCATTTCAGGCACACCGCTCCATCTCTGTCCTGTCCATGACCCACTACGCCACCAAATACTCGGTCCTTTGTACATCATCATCTGCGGGAAGCCTCTCCGGTCTATCCGGTACGTAAAGTTTCCGAAACCCGGGTCATCCGGAGATCTCCAAGACGTCATAAACCGATCTAAACCGTCTTGACGTGTGTATCCAAACTTCATAAAGGGAAGAAAAGTGTTTGTTGGATGGTTAAAACTCTCCCAGAAGCTTTTCCCTGTGAGGGGATCAAGCAGAACAAGGTTTCCTGAATCAGATAGCTTCGCAACTAAAGCCGGTTCTGAGATCGTGTCCACAACATCAGTAGACCAGACAGGTTCTGTTCCGTTGACAGTTGCGTAGACACAGAGATTTCCTCTGCTGCTGAACTTTATGTGACCAGATGTGTCGTTAACAGGATGGTCTCTGTTTGCAACCCATACAACAGTCTGCTCGGAGACTTGAGCATACCAAATCCCAACATACCGGAGCTTTGAAGTCCCTACGCTGAAGAATCCAAAAGCGAATCTCTTTCCTTCAGAGAATATAACATCACCGTCTTTCAAAGACTGTCTTCTCATGATCGTGTTGACAGAGAAACAAGATTGGATCAGGAGGGTGAATAAGAAAAAGAAGAAGATGAAGAAGATCATCTTCTTCATTCTGTGTTTGTTTTCTTGTCACAGTTTGATGGAAACTTATAAATGCTTTGTGTTTTATTAATGGCCAAGTGGGCCTTACCTGAGCTAACAACATTAACTGCATGCATCGATGAGTCACGCTCTGTTCCGGATTTCTCTCTCAAAAGATGTAAAAACTGATTCATGTGACTTAGAACATGACACGAACTTAAAAAGGTTATCAAACACTGTGAAACCTTTCTTCCTCGTCCATTCAATAATTACCTCTTTCACTGTGCATGAAATCAGTCCACGCCACCTCAATTGACCTACAATAACCAATATACGTACTTACGTATTAAATGACAAACATATATTATGATACTTACAAACATGATTATATTGATCACTTTATGACAAATTATCATGTCTCTTTCTTGTTTCTTCCTTCTTATGAAACACTAAGACTGCAGGACCAACCAAATTGATGACTATCAGATTTTTCCATTTTCCAGATGAAGCATGTTTATTCAACTGATTTGAAAGATGTTCTTCTAGGTCAAATTATGTGTGTAAATACTAAATAGAGTGAAGGTGGATAGTAGGTGAAGATAAAGTTGATAATGGCCGGCAATAAAAGTCAGTAAAATGCAACCTCCAATAAGCGTAATGCTGAAAGAGTTATAGAAAATGAAACATATCAACCAACCACTCCAAGAGATTTTATTAAACTATTAGACCTAAAAACACTTATTGGAGATTGCAACATCCAATGAGCATACTGCAGAAAGTAAATACATTTTCATCTAGCTCGAATCAAAGTAAATCTTATTATCAAAATGAGATATCTCTCAGTAACATGCATTATTTAGAAATAGTTGGAATACTTTTAACGGCCATAAACAGAAGTGAGAGTGACGTCATTAACAGAAATGCCGTTTTCTCCGCTGAGCCAAACGCCGGAGGAGCTGCCGCCGTCATTACTTTCTCTCCTCTTCCTGGTCATAAACGCAGGATGCTTCGGAGATGGAAGATCAATGGCGTTATGTCCCAACATTAACACAACAGTAGGCATGTCTGGTCTATCCGAAACGATTTCTTGCACACAAAGCAACCCAATGTGTATGCACTTCATCACTTCGCTCTCATCATAAGTCTCTGCGTCCATTGATTTATCTATGATCTCTGTTACTTCACCCTTTTCCCATCGATCCCAAACCTACACAATAAGAAAAAACATCATTTGCTCTGTCTTGTTCCTCTGTATCTAGAAGTCCATTTTTTTCTTTTTACTTACATGTCCGAATAGATTGGAAAATTTATCTTTGAAACCGCTGTTTTTCTTTCCGGTTATGATCTCTAAGATCAACACTCCGAAGCTGTACACGTCGGACTTTATGGAGAATTGCCCATCCATTGCATACTCCGGCGACATATATCCACTGTGGAGTGAGGTTGAAGCAACCTTAGAGATTGAAAGATAAAGATTTGCAGTGTTTTGTGGGGATTGAGAAAGACTAACTCACTATGTTCCAACGACCCGGTTCGTGCTTCCTTCGATTTGATTGCCCCCAAAGATTCTAGCCATGCCAAAGTCAGCAATCTTAGGGATCATTTCGTTGTCAAGAAGTATATTGCTGGCCTTAAGGTCTCTATGGATGATCCTCAGTCTTGAATCATGATGAAGATACAATATTCCGCGAGCAATCCCGCGGATTATGTCTATTCTTGTTGGCCAATCCAACATCGCTCTCTGCTCTTCATCTAATAAAACATAACAATGAATTGAAGTCATTGCAAGAACTTGATTCACAGAGTAAGAAACTATATTTTAAAAAATGTTGGAACGTACGGAATATGAAATAGTCTAGGCTCTTGTTTGGTAGATACTCATATATCACCATCTTTTCATCCAGTTCAACACAACATCCTAAGATCCTCACAAGATTCCGATGCTGCAACTTTGATATCAACTTGACCTCGTTCTTGAACTCTACCACTCCTTGGCCCGAGTTTTTTGATAGCCTCTTCACCGCTATCTCCATTCCATTCTCCAACACGCCCTGAGTATAAAACAAACAAGTATTGATGAAGATTTGCAGTAATATTTGTATGCATTGGGGAAAGATGTTTTCTTTTTTTTTCTTGCTTACCTTATAAACGGATCCAAAGCCACCTTCTCCAAGCTTGTTTTGAAAAGAGAATTCGTCTGTCGCTGCAGCGATTGTGGTAAGCTCAAAGAGAGGTAACTCCCGATTTCTTGCCTTGTCCTGAAGCTCTTCAAATCTGAGTGATTCTCCAAAATCAATATAACTTGGGGCGAATGTTTTTGAAGATCTTTTGTGCCTCTTAGACTCTGCGCTTGAGCATGTTTTCAATAGTTAGTTGTGACTTTTGATCTAAGCAAGCAACATATGAGCTTAAAAGATACATCATCAGATCTTTACTTACTTTGTCGCTTCCTCACAAAACAGAGGAAAATGACCATTAGTAACATTACGGCTAAAATTAAACTGATGAGTATCAGAAAGAGTCTCCTCTTCCTTGATGATCCATTTCTGTTCCAACGCTCTGAAACAAGCAATCAAATCGATATCAAGTATTTCAAAATCTTTAAGCAATGAAACAGAACGGTTCTTTGTTAGAAAATCTGTAGAGTTAACATTTGAGTAGATGTATATATGTACCTAACTCTGCCTTATCTACGCGTACAAAGAGATCTTGTCCCGAGCTCGAGTATGTCCTCGTGTCCAACATATCACCGTGCCACGTCAAGCACCCTCTTGGTCCTCCTTCACTCTCGTAGTAAGCACTTGCGTAAGCAACACAACTGCAGTTCCTCAAGCATGTCACTTCGCATTCCTTCAATGTTACGTTCATATCCACACTTGCAGCTGATGTGTTTGGAATCTTCACACGCTTCAACTTCACAAACCCTTCTCTCCCACGGCACACTGAAGTTGTATCTCTCCTTGTGCACCCACCTGAAGGATCTCTCAGTTTCCAATCCCCTGGCGCCTTTGGTTTGTAACCAGGTAAGCATATGCACTCAAACGTGTCTCTACTCAAAGGATCGCAGTAACCATTAGGTCCACAATAAGCGTAATCGTCGCACTGCTCTTGAGGATTTGGTCTTAACCCTATCCACCTCTTTTCCCTTCCGTTCCACGTAAACCGTTGCAAGATCCCTGCCTCGCTCAGCACCAGCCTTGTTACGACTGAAGCATCTAACACACCGTAAGTGTTTGATACTTCGTCTTGATTGTTCACAAAGGAGATGTTGAAGATAGACTTGAGTGTCTTTTCAGGGACACCGCTCCATCTCTGTCCCGTCCATGTACCTCCACGCCACAGCGGAGTCAGACCGTTGTACATCATCGTTTGTGGAAACCCTCTACGTTCCAACCGCAATGTATAGTTTCCGGAGCCAGGGTCGTCAGGAGATCTCCATGATGTTAGAAAGCGATCCAAACCGTCTTTTCTCGTGAAACCTAATCTCATAAAGGGAAGGAAAGTGTCTGTAGGATGATCAAAGCTCTCCCAGAAAACTCTCCCTGTGACAGGATCAAGAAGTACAAGGTTGCCTGAATCAGAGACTCTTGCAACAACTAAAGATGGCTCCAAGATCCTATCTGACACATTAGTTGACCATATAAGCTCTGTTTCATTAGCTGATGCATAGACACAGAGATTCCCTCCGCTGTTGAACTTTATATGACCAGATGTGTCATTAATAGGATGGTCTCTGTTTGCAACCCATACAACAGTCTGCTTATTCATTTGAGCATACCAAACACCAACATACCGAAGCTTGGAATTCCCAGGACTGAAGTATCCAAAGGCAAATCTCTTTCCTTCAGAGACTATGACATCACCATCTCTCAAGGACTGTCTTCTCATGATTGTATCGTTGGCTCCTCCGACGCAAGATCGGAGGAGGAAGAAGATGATGATGAAGAAGATTTTCATTTCTCTCTGTGTTTGTTTCTGTTCAGATCTTTGATGAAAACGTATAAATGCTGTTGTCTCCTATTAAAAGCCAAGTGGGTCTCACCAGTACTAACAACATTAACGGTAGTGTTGTTCTTCTCTGTTTTTAGTTGACGCAGTAAACGCATTGGATCAGTCGTTTCCAGTTTCTGAGTATTTTTTTCAAAGGTTGAACATTCAAAAGATGTAATGACTGAATTCATGTGACTTTAAGAGATCATGACACATACTAAAAGGACACCAACAGTAACCAAATCTGTACAGTTATTGTCTCCTTCACTAAATAGCCAGCCCAAGATCCCTACAGTAATAAATATTCACCTATGTAACAATATGATACGACCTGTTTATAACTTTTAAGTTTTAATTGATTCATTGATTGATGTTAGCTACATCAACTTCACATCATTCTATTTGGAAGCACATGCTTTAGTCTTTAGATGAGGACCAAACATAAACACAAAGTGGGGGCATCAATTTAGGCATTGCGCCTAAATTCATTAACCAGCAATTCTGGCAAAAGCTAAGAACAGCCTCCCTGTTCATTAATACAAATTTGGATTGGTACCAGCAATTTCATGAGATAGAAGCTACAACAACCTGTCTAAAAGTTAGACAACCCATACAACAGTCTCCTTACCCATTTGAGCATACCAAACACCGACATACCGAAGCTTCGAATTCCCAGGACTGAAGAATCCAAAGGCAAATCTCTTTCCTTCAAAGACTATGACATCACCATCTCTCAAGGACTGTCTTCTCATGATTGTGTCTTTGGCTTCGACACAAGATAGGAGGAGGAAGAAGATTTTCATTTCTGTGTTTGTTTCTGATCAGATCTTTGATGAAAAAGTATAAATGCTGTTGTCTCCTATTAAAAGCCAAGTGGAGTCTCACCAGTACTAACAACATTGACGGTAGTGTTCTTCTCTGTTTTTAGTTGACGCAGTAAAACATCCATCAGTCGTTTCCAGTTTCTGGGTTTATATTTCTCAAAGGTTGATGTTTTCAAAAGATGTAATGACTGATTTATGTGACTTAGAGATCATGACACAAACTAAAAGGACATTGACAATAAGTCTGTACAATCATTGTCGCCTTCACTTAATAGCCTGACCAGTTTCCCTACAGTAATAAATAAAATACTTACCTCTGTATATATATATATATATATATCAATATGACAAGCATATTGTTATATTGAGTGAATGAAATTGCTAACTTTTCTATTCGCTGGGTATTTTAGAACTTTATTTATTTATGATAAATGTTTCAACGACCTTGAACGCTGGTGAGGGTAACATCATTGAAAGAACAACCTGAGCTACCGCCATTTTTGACGTTTCTTTTCCTTAACACCGTAAAAGCAGGATGCTTGGGAGATGGAAGATCAATGGCGTTTTGTCCCAACATGAACAAAACAGCGGACATGTCTGGCCTGTCCGAAGCGCTTTCTTGCACGCAAAGCAACCCAATGTGTGCGCATTTCATCACTTCGCTCACGTCATAAGTCTCTGCGTCCATTAACGTGTCTATGATCTCTCTTGCTTCACCTTTTCCCCATAGACCCCAGATCTACAGAACGAAAAAAACATTCTCTTATGTTTTTTTTTCTGTTCTTTTTCTTGTACAGTACCTCTGTTTCTAGCAGCCCTAAGTCATGTGAAAAAAAAATGCAGTTTTTACTTACATGTCCAACTAGATTCGAAGATTCCTCGTAGACAGCACTGTTTTTATTTCCCGTAATGATCTCTAAGATCAATACTCCGAAACTGTAGACATCGGATTTCACAGAAAACTGGCCGTCCATTGCGTGCTCCGGTGACATGTATCCGCTGTGACAGATAAATTGAAAAGAACTTTCAGACTGAAAGAAGAAGAAAAAAAAGAGAGAGAGAAGATTCGATTTGTGAAACAAAAAAAGAGACAAAGAACTTTATCGGGGGTTGAGATAGGCTAACTCACTATGTTCCAACAACTCTGTTGGTGCTTCCTTCGATTTGGTTGCCCCCAAAGATTCTCGCCAAGCCAAAATCTGCAATCTTAGGAGTCATATCATTGTCAAGAAGTACATTGCTGTCCTTGAGGTCTCTGTGGATGATCCTCAGTCTTGAATCTTGATGAAGATACAATACTCCTCGAGCAATCCCTCGGATTATCCCCATCCGTTTTGGCCAATCCAGCTCAGCTCTATGCTCTTCATCTAAGAGGATGGCAAGAAAGAAAATAGGATTGAGTTGAAGTCATTTATCTCTCTGAGTGGTAGAATTTGAAAATAAAGACAAAATGCATTAGATAGAAATGTTGAACGTACGGAATATGAAATAGTCAAGGCTCTTGTTTGGTAAATACTCGTATATCAACATCTTCTCTTCCAACTCAACGCAACATCCTAAGATCCTCACTAGATTCCGATGCTGCAACTTTGATATCAACCTGACCTCGTTCTTGAACTCTTCCATTCCTTGGCCTGAGTTTCTTGACAATCTCTTCACCGCTATCTCCATTCTGTTTTGTAACACGCCCTGAAATAGAAACAAAGGAAACATTAATTCCCTACTACTTGCTTATTGAACTCAAAGATTTCTCTTTTGGAGGAGTAATATTGACAACGGTTTAGGATACAAGAAGATGGTTTTAGTTTCTTCCTTACCTTATAAACAGGTCCGAAACCACCTGCTCCAAGCTTGTTCTGTACAGAGAAGTTATTTGTCGCTGTAGCGATTGTGCTAAGCTCAAAGAGAGGCGACTCCCGGTTTCTCTCCTCGTCCTCTTCAAATGTGAGTGAGTCTTCAAAATCAAAAGAACTTGGGATGAAGGCTGTTGAGGATCTTTTATTCCTGTTCGACTCTGCAGGTGAGCATGTTTAACATTAGTCAGTGTTGAGCTAAGCAAGGAAACACAAGAGCTTGAAAGATACATCATAAGAGATTGACTTACTTCGTTGCTTCCTTACGTAACTGAAGAAAATCACCATTAGTAGCATTCCGGCTGAAATCGAACTGATGAGAATCAGAAAGACTCTCCTCTTTCCTGATGAACCCTTTCTGTTCCACCGCGCTGAAACAAGAACAGGAAAATCGATACTTAACCACTTCAAATTGACAATTCCTCTTTATTGCAATTAAACAGAATGGTTGTTAGACGGTAGCAGAAAGCATGTTCTAGAAACTACCAAGAACTTGATAAATAGATTTATATATGTACCTAACTCTTCCGCATCTACACTTACGTAGAAATCTTGTCCAGAATTAGAATATGTCCTGCTATCCAGCATATCACCATGCCATGGCAAGCACCCTATTGCTCCTCCTTCACTCTCATGGTGAGCGCTTGCGTAAGCGACACAAGAACAGTTCCTCGAGCACCTCTGTTTGCACTCCTTCAATGTTATGTTCATATCCACTCCTGCAGCGGATGTGTCCGGAATCTTCACGCGCTCCAACTTCACAAACCCATCTCTCTCACGGCATTTTGAAGCTGCTCTGTTTTTCTTTCTACACCCACCCGAAGTGTCTCTTAAGAACCAATCCCGGGGAAACTTGGGCTCAAAACCAGGTAGGCATGTGCACACAAACGTTTCTGAGGTCGTGGGATCGCAGTGACCGTTAACGCCACAGTGTGCGTAGTAGTCGCAATTCTCTTTCGGAACTGACCAGAATTCGTTCCATCTCTCGTCCCTCGCAATCCATGTTAACCTTTGATCGTTTCCTCTCTCGTTCACTATAATTCTTGTTATGACTGAAGCATCCGTCACACCGTAAGCGAATGATACTTCGTCTTGATTATTCACAAACGAGATATTGAACATATGTCCTCTTCCCATTTTAGGCACACCGCTCCACCTCCTCCCGGTCCACGATCCCGGACGCCACCACGGGGTCACACCTTTGTACAGAAAAAGTTGCGGAAATCCCTTGCGTTGTATCCGGTATGTGAAGTTCCCGGAACCAGGGTCCTCAGGAGATCTCCATGACGTCAGAAAGCGATCCAAACCGTCTTTCCCTGTGAATCCCAACCTCATAAACGGAAGAAAAGTGTCTGCAGGATGACCAAAGCTCTCCCAGAAAGTTCTCCCTGTGACTGAATCAAGCAGAACAAGGTTCCCTGAATCAGAGAGTTTCGCAGCTAGAGTTGGTTCCGAGATACTATCCGAGACATTAGTCGACCAGAGAGGCTCTGTTCCATTGACTGATGCGTAGACACAGAGATCCCCTCTGCTGCTGAACTTTATCAGACCAGATGTATCATTAACGGGACGGTCTCTGTTTGCAACCCATACGACAGTCTGCTTAGAGATTTGAGCATACCAAATCCCAACATACCGGAGCTTGGAAGCCCCAGGGCTGAAGAATCCAAATGCAAATCTCCTCCCTAGAGAGAATAAGACATCACCATCTCTCAAGGACTGTCTTCTCATGATGGTATCAACGGAGGAGATACAAGATTGCAGGAGGAGGAAAAAGAAGATGACTAAGACGAAGACCTTCATTTTTCTGTGTTTGTTTGTCAACAAGGAAGGGGTTGATGAAATAGATTCTGTTTTATTGAAAGGCCAAGTGAGTCACACCTGAATTTCCAAGTCACACCTAGTTCCGTATATTTTTTCTCCTTCACCAGATTGCCAGCCACTCTTGAAATCTTATCCTCTTCACTCTCACGGTAACCATTTGAAGAAACTCCTTCAAGACTAGTCAACTGCTATATAGCAGCTGGCCTACAAGGAATTTCCACGAGTAAATTTTACAGACCATTCTCCAACATGGCGAGCCAAAACTCTCTTCCACCTGTAACATCATTCCACAAGACCATTTTGAAAACTAGGCAAAGTGCAGTTAAACAAAACCGAAACTGTAGTATAGGTGGTGCAATGTTCATAAAATTCACGATATTCCGACCAGAAACATAATCCAACTGTTGCCTTTCCTTGACTAAGTCACAAATTACAAGATTCTATGTTAGACCTAGCATTGTGTGACAATTTCAATACATCAAAGTAAAAGTGATTTATCGATTCATGTGCTTTACATCATCTATTTGAAATCATATGCTTTAGATGAGGGCCTCATCTTAAACAGGTCCTCATCTAAAGCATGTGCTTTCAAATAGATGAAGACCAAACATAAACACAAACACAAGAGGGGCATCTCTTGCCATGAGAATTAAGGCATTGCGCCAGGTTCATCAACAAGAATATCTGACAAAAGCTAAGAACAGCCTCCTGTTCATCAATACAAATTTGGATTGGTTCCAGCAATTTCATGAGATAAAAACTACAACAACCTGTCTAAAAGTTAGACAATTCATGTGGACGCTTCAGAAAGCTTATCCTCCAAAGCCTTGAGCTCTTGCCTCCATTCCTCCAACTTTGAGAATTTCTCCAATTGCTCAGGCTTTAGGTCTCTGGGAGCAGTCTTTTGCTGTTGAGCTTCTGTGAGTCGGATCTGCAAATGTTAACACAATGTCACAAAATGACAGTTGATACACAAAACTGAAGATAATTTGCTAGTGACAATCATATCTTGCAAGCCAAAACCGTTCTCGAGTGTCTTATTCTAATTAGAGCAGCTGAGAAAGTTATGAAAAAACCTTACTTTCTTCTTAAGTGCACGTATTCTTTTCTCCGTGTCTTCTACAGCATTATTTGAAGAAACGTCCAAAGCCTCCAAGCCAGAAACCAATACGTTCACAGATTGGGATCCATTGCTTGGAGTCACAATGGAAACAGCATCTTCCTTGTCTACATTACTAGCTAATCCATCCTCAGAGCTGTTACCTTTTTCAGTAGCCTGCAGAGGTGATATAATTTAGAAGCATGTTTCAGTAACTGAAGACAAAGCTAGTAACATATGAAATAGAGTTGAAGCACAGAACCTGTAATCTCTTCTCTTTCCTACGTTCGTTCCTCTTAGCACCTTTAGATTTTGGCTTCGGAGCTGGAGCTGGTTCAGGTTCATAACCTGGAGGTCCTAATGACTCCATCTGCTTCTTTATCTATTGCACAGAAAATACAGATTAGGTACAAAACCGTGCTATCTCCTACAGCCTGATATTGAGAGAAAAGGGACTTCATACCAAAGCGCCTTTGGATTGATATTTGACAACTTCATCTTGTGGAACATATCCAGCTCGAATCTTGATGGGTTTCCGAAGCGTACCATCGGGTCTACGCGTGGGCTCCAGAATCCTCTCCCCTTCTTTAAGGCTTTTGCTCAGTTCTGCCATTTGCTTTTTTTGTTCTTCGCTTCTGTTGCTGCTTCCCATCTGATTCCTTCAGCTTATCAATAACCCTACTCAGCTATCAAGCCTCACTGTTTTCTGTACAGAACCAGTTTTGGTGTTACAACAGTTTGTGAAAGAAGCTAAATTCACAACAATGAGTGACTCAGAGTTTTAAATCAAAAGTCGGAAACTAATCAAGACAGGTGGCCAATTACTCAGTTAAATAGTTCCAACACTAACTTTGACCTTCTCTAGGATATATCTATTAACCTGTCTTCAAAGTCTCAAGCTTTCTTTCTGTATTATCATCAAAGTTCAATTTTTTTTGTGACCAATATTCATTTTGCTGCTATTGAAAACCACAAGCCACATCTTCAATACAGATCCTAAAACCATACATACCAACCAAACAAAAACTTTTCGGATTCAAAGTTTAACTATTTTAAAGCTGTATTCAATTTTCTCTGTTTCGTCTACCTGCAATAAACCAGCACTGAAAATCAACCAAATTAAGTAAACCTAATTTTTTTCGTCCGGTTGTCGGAGTTCCCTACACCTCGGTTCAATCATCGAGACAGAGAGAACGAGAGAGAGGGAGAGAAGAAAGAGCAAAAAAAGGAAACTGACCTTGTAGATGTTGGTTTTCTCCGTCGCCGGAGAGCCAAAATCCGGCGAAAAGCAACCGGTATAAATTGGATTAAAGAGGTTTTTGTCGACCGTGACCTATGATGACTCTCGAAGAATAAGATCGAGACAGGTTAATGAGTTTAACAGTGTTCCGTGTCCGTAAATTCGATTGGAACAAAAAATACTAAACGAACTATAGGAAGACCTTTTGGCTTTGAGGCAAAAACTATATAGTATTAAATTACTAGAAAAATATATACAGCTCCAGTTAACCTTTCAACTTTCATGGTTTCACTTTCACATTATTCTTTTGGGGCTTCAAATTGACAATTTATCACCCAAAGAAATCCATTTTGTTACTGTAAAAAAAGTTTATTTATCAGAAAAAGCCATACTTTTGATTTGGTTTTATCTTACAAGAAAATGGTTTTTTACTTTCCGAATAATCGATGGTTGATTTTTACTTGGATGTATGTACATACGAATTCACTTTCTATGGATCAAATCTTCCGTATGAAAATTAAATGGTACGACAAGTTGTCTCAGTACCGACCATGGTTTTGATTTGTTCACATCATTGACTGGTTTGACAATGTCACACGTCGACTAAATCAAATTTAGCGTTAAGCCCACGAGACCTCAATTTGCCTTTGTGGGCCTCTCTCTCTCTCTCTCTCTCCCTCCTAACGAAATCACCGTCGTGACCTATTCTCTCTCTCCGTGTTGGCTTTAGGTCTTCTCCGGGAGGTATTGTCGAACCCAATTAACGCCGGGAGAAAAAACGGTGACCCGACTAATCATTTCCATTTCCGTTGCACCGTCAAGTTGAAGTCGATGAGAAAATGCTCCTCAATCTTAACGTTTTAGAGATCCATACCCAACAACCGACGTCTTCTCGTTTTATTGCATTGGTTTCTCTCCATCGCCACCATGTCAAGGTTTGTTGTTCATCAAGCTGACTTCTCTTTCCATAGACCCATTCGGTTTCGTATTCCTTTCGGGTCTCTCATGAATTCTGATCGGGTTTATGTTTTTCCGGATTCCCATTTCCCCGGAGGCTCATTTTATGATACATAATGTGGAATTGATACTGAATTTGATGTAAAGTTTCGAAATTTAGGAGTTTCCATTGGTTGGTACGTCTTAATGTTGATCGGATCATCCTTCTTAAGCCTCTCTTAGCTGATGATTTCTTGCTCCTTATTGGGTTTCTTTGCAGATTTCTTATCTTTAGAATCGTTGGAAAACAAACGCAATCTCTTCAGAAAGAGAGAGGATCCCAATGGGGAAGCTATAGAACTGCTTTTACAGTTGCTCTAAGGTCGCCTCAATTCAGAGTTTACTCTTCCTCCGCTAGAATTCCCATTAAAGGACATTGTACATTAGCCCTTCGAGATGTTAAAGGAAGCCTTTTGAGTAATTATCTCTCACGAAGTTATTCTACTGCCTCTGCAAGAAATGTAGTTACTCGTCATGCGCAAGTTGCTTGGAAAAGGCTTCATCATAAGTATTCTATGCGTCAATGGAGCTTACCTCGTATAAGTACTATTGCTCAAGCTTTTAGCTTGTCTCTTACCCGTTCACACTTGTTAATGCCTGGGATACTTGCTTTGACCTGTGGACAAGTAGCATATGCGCAAAGAGCTCCAAGTTCGGCGATAGATCACTATACGAGGGCAAAGAATGGTCCTATCTTTATCTCGTCGTTATTGTTTTCGGTTATAGAGGGTTTCATTTTGATTTGGAGGGCGTTTTATATAGCTTGTTTGTTTACTCCTACTGTGCTGATGGGGATGGTTGTGGAAGTAGGTGGTCCTCGTTTTAGGAAAATATGGCTTGAGATGATACATCGAACTCTGGAGAGAGCAGGTGCTGCTTTCATCAAATGGGGTCAATGGGCAGCGACGAGACCAGATCTCTTTCCCAAGGATTTGTGTTCACAGCTCTCGAAGCTTCACAGTGACGCTCCTCAGCATAGTTTTGCCTACACTAAGAAAACTATAGAGAAGGCATTTGGTCGTAAACTGTCTGAGATATTTGAGGAGTTTGAAGAGGCGCCAGTGGCATCAGGTAGTATTGCCCAAGTACATAGAGCTTCTTTGAGGTTTCAGTATCCAGGACAAAAGTCCAAGTCTTCGCTTGTTGCTGTTAAAGTTAGACATCCGGGTGTTGGTGAATCGATTAGGAGAGATTTCGTGATCATTAATCTGGTGGCAAAGATATCTACTTTGATTCCAGCTTTGAAATGGTTGAGATTGGACGAGAGCGTGCAGCAGTTTGGTGTCTTCATGTTGTCTCAAGTTGATCTCGCGAGGGAAGCTTCTCATTTGAGCCGGTTTATATATAACTTCCGGAGATGGAAAGATGTCTCTTTTCCTAAACCTGTGTATCCGCTTGTACATCCTGCTGTTTTGGTTGAGACATATGAGCACGGAGAAAGCGTGGCACGTTACGTTGATGGCATGGAAGGACATGAATGGATCAAGACTAGATTGGCTCACATCGGGACTCATGCCCTCTTGAAGATGCTCCTGGTATTTATCATCTTTGTATTCTTTTAAGCTTTTCTATTTGACAAGCGTTTCATTGAAGCTATTAATCTCAAGTGAATGATGGTTTCAGGTTGATAACTTTATTCACGCTGACATGCATCCGGGAAACATCCTTGTCCGGAAAAAGGCTTCCCGAGGAGGACTGTTCAAGACGAAGAAGCCACACATCGTTTTCCTTGACGTGGGAATGACTGCAGAGCTCTCAAAGAACGACCGAGAGAACTTACTTGAGTTTTTCAAGGCGGTTGCGCTTAGGGATGGCCGGACTGCTGCTCTGAGAACACTTAAATTATCAAGAAAGCAAAATTGTCCCAATCCAGAAGCTTTTATCGAGGTAGTAATAATAAGATTTAGTGCCTTAGAAATCATTTAAGTAAAAGATCGTTCCTTTTGGCTGATATTTCTTTATATTATGGCAGGAAGTAGAAGAAGCATTCAAATTCTGGGGAACCCCTGAGGGAGATTTAGTACATCCAGCAGATTGCATGCACGAATTACTTGAGAAAGTAAGACGTCATAGAGTTAATGTTGACGGAAATGTATGCACCGTGATGGTCACAACATTAGTTCTCGAGGTGAGCCAAAATCTTTTCTCTCTCGAAATTTTAGTGTAGATTTCATGGAACTTGGTATAGAAATGCATTCCCTAAAGATCATAGGACTGAAAACTAAGCTTATTATAGAAACTGATCTTAAAGATGTTGCCTTTGAAACTGTTTGTAGCTTAGAGCATTGTGACTATAGCCTAGTTTGATCCAGTTCTTGTTTATAACCTTTGGATGGATTAAGTTTGCTTCATCTTTTATAATCGAATTTGGTTATAGGGTTGGCAACGGAAGCTCGATCCAGGATACGATGTGATGCACACGCTGCAAACAATGGTGCTGAAAACCGACTGGGCTAAGTCTCTTTCTTACACGGTGGATGGTCTGATGGCGCCGTAGGAGAAGAAAGGTTTTCCATCTTTTTCGAAATTTTGTTTGTCATCATCATCATAGGAGTCGACAAATTTTTACACATCTTAGATGAGAGAACATAGAAAGAAAGTACATGTTCTTGTGTCCCTCTTGTTTATTTTTCATTCTTTTTTTTCTTCCTTTTGCTTTTTGTTGTTATGGATTTTGGTTCATTCTAACTGCATAGCTTGTATTTTCGCGGTTGGTTTCCTGTATTAACCGCCCGTTTTGTTCTCTGAACCGAAGAACAGTGAACATAAAAACAATGAAAAAGACTTGTCTGAGAATGGCATAGCGAATTTGAATAAAGTGTTTACATCCATGTATCTCTCTGTGTATCTATCTACTGTAATTGTGAATTGTCTTTGTCCCTTTTGGCTTATCTGGTGAAGGATTTTAAGAGAACCGAATCAGAGCAAAATGCCAGACAACACGCTGTTTCATAATACCCTCGGAGTCTAATATAACCTTTATTCACCTAAGAAACTGTATCTGTCTGTAGATTACAACGGTTGTATATGTTCATCATCATCAAATGCAATATTGTACAAATGGCTTCTCATCGTTTCTCCTTTTAATGCCTAAAAAGGTTTTCAAATCCAACTTCCATGTTTGCTATATATCACAGTTTTGAAAACAAACATGAAAGTTTTCTTCTGACATGATTCTGTATATCAGCCGATGATGATACCAACGCCTATGATTTATGAAGGCGCAGAGCTTGGTTTCCGTTTTATATGCAACTCTGTTTGTGTGTTGTTAGGCTTCAGATGACATTGTTGATACCATGACTGGAGGCGAATGCAGCTCAAGAAAAGCTTTTCCTTCGGGATCGCCGCCTATGCATAGTGTGTCTCCTCGACCATGCCAGATACCGTCATGAACATTGTTCATCTCCAGCGTTTTCGATTCCTGCATCACATCACAAGCAAGTTGAACCACAAGGACATACTAATAACAGCTTGTTTTCAAGGGAACAATGATCTGTGAACAACACACACCTGAGTTAATGTACAAAATGGACAGATGAGATGGTGGATACAATCGTCAAAGAAACTATCAGCGCCCTGTGAACGAAGTAAGACAATTTCAAGGTTTAACATGATGCAGGACAGAAGACAAATAAGTTCTTAACACACTCACAGGAAAAGCAACAGAAAGAAGGAGAATGTGCTTACTCTAATGTTAAACTTCTTTCTTATCTGCATACGGAAGAAAGCCAAGTAGGATACAATCAAAAGCACGAAAGCAATAGCCAGGTAGAGAAAGCAATGCCTCTTGGTTACAGCAAAAGCTGCAATGTTGAATAGGGGACCGATGATAAGAATCATATGAACAGTACCCTGACACAGAACATTTGGTCAAAACATAGAAGAAAGTCAGCATCTTTCGGTGATTGCAACCTGAGATCAATCGTATAAATCAAAAATGCTAAAAGGGGGTTTTGATAGAATCTTATACCTGAAGAAAGCAAGAACCAAAACCACTCCTTGTCATGTTTTTCCCGAATCTGTAGCATGGGCAGCTGAAAAATCAAGATAAAAAAACACTATTTTACAATAGCCATTGCTTCATAATTACTCTAATTACAGTCCTATCATGCACCAAATGTTGGATATAGCCAGATTTAATCAGAATTGATGTTCTCCTCTCTAACAATCTGAGACCTTTGACCAAAATTTGACTTGCCCATTTCTAGACTAACTTATCAAACACATGAATAAAGGAGATGACAGAAGTAATAATAATTAATTTAAAAACCCAGACTTTTTCGCCGGAAAATCATTCCTGTAAATTCCAGTTTCTCAGGGGAAATGAATTCGATGACTAAATTGGGTTTTCGAATGAAATGAGAAGAAGAAAAAGAAAACTTACCAAGCGGATTCGATGCAGAGATGACGATCCTCTAAGCAATCCATAACATCGCCTTCCCAAAGCCGTAAAACGCCGCCGCCGTATTCATCATCATCGCCATCTTCTCTCTCCGAGCTCTCCAGTTTCCTCCATTTCCCCTGAGTCTGAAGCGCCACCGTCGAGCAAAGCAGATCGAAATCCAACACAGAAATTCCTTCCAATTCCGCTCGCATCTCCCTCTCTTCCACTGCGCCGCCGCCGTCGTTTCCAATGTCGACGATTACGGCGGCTCCTCCACTCTCTAAATTGTCCAAATCCGCCATTGATGATAAAAGAGAACTTGTTAGGGTTTTTCTCTCTTCTTAATTCCTCTTTTCTCTGTTTAATACTATCTATCTTCTCCAAAAGGATCAGCCTTTTTTGTTGAAACGCCTCTTATTTTTTAACGCTTATTGTTTTTTCTCTTATGCGTTGGTGATTTGGCGGGTAATTAATTATTCATAAATCCCAGCTAAAGTAGTCATTATTAAAGGTACAGCTGTTGCCACGTGGATATTGCGGATAGTGGAGAGTGATTGATGTTTATTCTTATCCTATCTGCTCAACTATACGAATTCCTTAAATTTAGATTTCATAATTGCAGAAAGGTAACGGAAAAACAAATTGAACCTTTGTCATCACATGTAACGCTAAGATGTATGTGTAAATCAGTAAATCAAACACCGAATTAATAACGTTACTAAAGAAAGAGAACTCCCGGCTAATATAGGGCTGGCGCTATATACTATTGTGTACATCGCATCTCAAATTCTATATAGGGCTGGTAAGTTGTTACTGATTAGCAATTATGAGTCTAAATGTTACTGTGTTAATATATAGGGCTGGTAAGTTGTTACTGATTAGCAATTATGAGTCTATATGTTACTGTGTTAATATATAGGGCTGGTAAGTTGTTATCGCATCTCATTTGAAGACGTTTTGTAAAAATCACTTTAACAAGAAAAAACAACCAAAAATCATAAACTTATATATATGGACTTAACAGTGGCTTTTGTTTGATGTCTTGTTATTGTAATTTGTGTTGTCCTTGTCCTTGTTTGAAGACGTCTTGTTTAAATTAGTAACGAACGAAAATCATTAATTTGTGGACTTAACCAAGAAATGGGTTTTGTTTGATGTCTTCTTTACTTTGTATTGTATTGTGTGTTATGATCTGTTATGTTCGACAAAGATGTTTTGTTTTCCTGCAACAAATTTGGGCTCAACTCATGCAAAAGGTCAAAAGAAAATTAAAATAGGATAGAAATCCTTAATAGCAGTTGGTGAGCAATCAACCTATAAGGAGAATATTTACATTGAAGCAGCGAAGAAAGACTTGACACTTGTTGGGGACGGAAGAGAATTAACAATTCTCACTGGAAATTTAAGCTACAAAGCCGGTTTTTCCATCAAGAACTCCTCGGTAATATGTCATGCTTTGTTGTTCTTGAATGTTACATTTTTTCTGAAATAGAAATTATTTATTCCAACGGTGTTATAGTTTATTTCTATTGACAAGTTTGATAATACTACAGGTGTGGCTTTTGTTTGATCTCTTGTTCTTGAACTCTGTGATAAAACGGGACACTCAATCGTGACAAAATACCGATCTCTACCGTCACGTACAAACGTCAAGTTTTTTCTTGTCGATCCAATGTAAATCGTGTCTTTGTATATTCATTTCTTCACATATTTATGATATAATTTGAGCAAATATTAAGAAAAGTCTGAGTAAAGTTTAAGCAATGTTTGAACAAAATGGCATAGACCTACTTATTATTAATTGATATTGAGTTAAAATCCAACATGGCATGATGTTAATAATAATAGGTCTATGCCTTTCAGAAAGGGAACAAATATGGAGAACAGTAAATATGGAAAAAAATTCTAATGTTACAGCTAATGAAAAGGATTTGAGTATTTGACCAACGAAAAAAGCTAGTGTAAAATGAATTGTTCAGTCAATTCAAAAGTTTATCTCCTTCACAGTACTAAAATGATTTAATAGAAATTTTGTTTTGGAAACTAATTTAATGGAAAAGTTAATGCACTTCTGACTTTACCGGAAGCAAAACCGGTCCAATCTCTATAAATTATCGAACCTTTGGTTCTCTTCACCATACACTTAGACACAAAACCAACAAACAAATACAATCTTAGTGAGAGCATAATCAAAACTCAAAAGCAACAATGGCGGACGAGGTGATTCTTCTTGATTACTGGCCGAGTATGTTCGGAATGAGAACAAGGATTGCTCTAGAGGAGAAAAACATCAAATTCGATTACAGAGACCAAGACCTCTTCAATAAAGACTCGTTTCTCCTCGAGATGAACTCGGTTCACAAGAAATTCCCGGTTCTCATCCACAATGGTAAACCGGTCTGTGAATCTCTCATCCAGATCGAGTACATCGACGAGACTTGGCCTGGAAAAAACCAACTCCTTCCTTCTGATCCTTACCAAAGAGCTCAGGCCAGGTTTTGGGGAAACTTCATCGACAACAAGGTAAAACGATCAAAGCTTTTTATAGGGACAAGAAAATCTGTTGATAAACAATGAATGTGGTTTCAGGTGCATGGTCCAACGAGGTTGATCTGGGGAGCGAAAGGCGAAGAGCAAGAGGCCGGGAAGAAGGAGTTTATTGAGGTGCTCAAGAAGCTAGAGTCCGAGCTTGGAGAGAAGACTTACTTCGGAGGCGAGACGTTCGGGTACGTGGATATTGCTCTCATCGGATTCTACAGCTGGTTTCAAGCGTTTGAGAAGTTTGGGAGTTTCAGCATCGAACCAGAGTGTCCAAAACTGATCGCGTGGGCTAAAAGGTGCGTCAAGAGAGAGAGTGTGGCTAAGTCTCTTCCTGCTTCCGAGAAGATCACTGAGTTCGTCCCTGAGCTAAAGAAAAGAATTGGAATCGAGTAAAAAAAAAACTCTGTTTCGGCTCTGTTTCTGGTTTTCTCCTCTTTCATTTTCTGTTCTGTTTCGGCTCTGTTTCAGTGTTAAGTCTTATCATAATAATACAAATATTCTGCGAGATGCTTCGTTTATAATAATAAAATAGCGTTACAAGATACAAATGATAATAGTGAAAATCATTTAAC